CGCGAGATACAGCACGTGGTGCAGATTCTTGGGGGGGGGGGGGCATGACCCCTGAGACCCCCCCCCCCCTTCGGACCATGCCTGTCTATACATTGATAAAAAGTTTGGCGTATCTGTTATTGGTTGTTTTTCCAAAAATATGCAATAAGTTATTGGCCAGCAGAGAAAGTCAATGACTGCTTAATATCATGTGAGCTGCCTGTCAGGTCGGCCGAACTAGTGGTAGGAAAATTGTAACCAGAGTTATTGAACATGTCGTTAAGATCATTGAAAAATCCAAGAATACTCCCCCTTCATTTGATGGATATGATACCAAAAGTCCTTTTACAAACCACATCCTAAATTCACACCATAGTTTTGATCCAAATCAGGACCTTAAAATTCTACATGTCTATCCAAAAGGTAGGTTACTGAATTTACTGGACATTTTCGAAATTAATTCTTCCTTGAATAAGAATTCTGTCTTGTCTCTCAATGACCAAACACATTTTGATTGTATTGAATTTTTCAATGCTTTGGATTTCAATCACTGTTAGTTCACCTACCTTGGTGTCAACTTATTCTATGGCATTTCATAGTCAATGGTTTTTCAGGTTTGCTCAACTCTCTCCTACATGCATCCCTCAAGCTCAAAATAGGTAATTCTTTCACTGAAATATTATTCGTTTTTGTATTGTAGACCTTTCAATTAGGCTGAAGATGGTCTTTTATGAGACCGAAACATGTCTCTTATGATTATGTAACAATATCATTAAAATTTAGGGAGATGACTTCGAGCATACCTTCGTTCCTGCAAAATAATATTTACACACAGGTTGATCCATTTAAAAAACTGAGGACTGCGCTATATTTATAACAATATGATAGCTACCCAAAATCAACATTGGCCACTGAGTAGAGCACACAAAATTATGAAAAAATACTTCTGGTTTAGTATCATTCCCGCTTGAATCTTTAGAGGTAAACATTCCAAATAAACAGATGACGCGGCGTTTCCTAGCTACGGTATGAAACTTCAGAGGGAGATTCATTGAGTTGTTTCAAGGAGAAAGAAGTTTTGAGGAAAAAATTCTCATAAATATGTCCGGGAGATACAGGGTGTTGATGTTTCGGAAAAGAACGGTACCCCGATACAGATATTTGGAGTTTGAGACAGATGATCGAGATGTTTCTTCGATATTGATGAATAGTCCAATGTATTTCCATGTACACGATTTGCATGACTGGCTTCGATTTGTTTTTCTCGAAAATGAAGCTACATATGAAGAAAATCGAAGAAGACAAAAAGTCGCATCCTTGGTTGCTAAAAAATGTCAATGTCTTCCTTTTATTTTCCATATTTATCACATGTAAAAGTTTCATAAACGATGAGATTACACAAAATTCTTAGTCACACGAAATACTGGACCAGTATTATGAGTCATAAGTTTTTTATTGTATACCTACCTAATAAAAAAAAGAAGCATTGAAAAAAAATTATCTCAGATATAATTATGAATATAAAAAAAATGATATATACAGGGTGTTAACAAATAATTGTCACAACAAAAAACTATATATAGATTCCTCATAATAAAAGAAACATTTCTTTCCCTTTCAAAATTTTTCTCCTGGCTTCCGTTTTCAAGATACAGGGCGTCAAAAAATCAGAAATGTTCAGTTTAATCAAACACACTTTACAGCACTTAATAAACTTAACAATTCGAAAACCAGCATCCAGACCAGCATACTCAAGAACTTGACATTTGATTGAACATATTATTAGACAGTTATGTGGTGTTTATTTCCAGTGAATTTTTAGACGATTTTTGGAGATACCATCAGGATTTTGTATGTTCTAATTCATGAAGAGCAACTTTTCGCGGAAACTGTTCACTTTGGAGCATTGAGACAAGTGGACGTTTTTTGTGTGAAAGATATTGGCGCTTCAGAATCTACTTTGAATATTGCAATTCCTCCAGTGGCATAAATGTTTGGGGGGTTAAACTCTTACGAGACGCTGAATTCTCCTCCACTGACACGTCCAAGGGAATTGATTGAGAGCCCTAAAAGTAGTCATTATTGATGATGAAGTGTGTACGAAGGCTTAACTCCGTAGCTCAGACGGTTCCTGAGATAGTAGCAAAAAACAGATTTTTTGTATTTTTTGACGCCCTGTATCTTGATAACGGTAGCCTGGAGACAAATTTTGAAAGGAAAAAAAATCCTTTTTGCATGAGCAATCTACAGTTTTGCGTTGTGACACTTATTTGTCAACACCCTGTATATACCGGGTGTCCCATTTTAATCTTTACTTGGAAATTTCTCGAAATGTATGCATCTGACAAAAAAAATTGCCGAATAAAAATTGTATGGTTTGGAGGGGGACGTCTGGTTGTAAAACAAGTTTCACCCCCTGACCCCCAGGGGATTGGGAGATGGAGGTAACATTGAAATCTTTAATGGAAACCCCTATTTTTTATTGCAGATTCTGGAAGAGCATTAAAAACTATGAAGCTTTTATTCGGGAACTTCTTTTTTATTTTCACAAGATGGCGCTGCGATCGTAAAAAACAATATTTTACTATTTACACATTTCAACCCCCTGAAGACAAGGAAGAGTGTAGGGTGTGATATTTTCCCAGACAAACGCCATTGGGGTGATATTCACACGACAAATTAACGCTAAAGTAAACGAACTAACTTACCTTGACACCTCTACATAGAAAAGAGAAAAATAAGCATCGTTCAGCAATTAAGGTATCATTCAGGTCAGACTAAAGCTGGTTTTAAGTGAGATTGACTACTTTATCAAGTGTTCGAAATGCCCTCCATTTTCTTGAATACACAAGTTCACTCGTTTTTCAAAATTCCGCACTGTCACTTCCAACATAGCAGGCGTTATAGCCATGCACGCTCCTCTAATTCTATCTTTCATATTCTCGCGTGTGGTTGGGGGTTCGCGAACACAATGTTTTTGATGTAACCCCACAGAAATAAGTCTGGGGAAGTCAAGTCGGGTGATCTGGGTGGCCAGGGCACGGGTCCCCCACGACCAATCCACTTTTGCGGGTATCTCTCGTCGAGGAAATTTTGCACAATTCTAGCAAAATGTGGAGGCGCGCCATCTTGCTGGAACCACATACGGAGCGCCATCTTGTTGAAATAAAAAAGAAGTTCCCGAATAAAACCTTCATAGTTTTTAATGCTCTTCCAGAATCTGCAATAAAAAATAGGGGTTTCCATTAAAGATTTCAATGTTACCTCCATTTCCCACACCCCTGTGGGTGAGGGGGTGAAACTTGTTTCACAACCAGACGTCCCCCTCCAAACCATACAACTTTTATTCGGCAATTTTTTTTGTCAGATGCATAAATTTCGAGAAATTTCCAAAAAAAGATTAAAATGGGACACCCGGTATAAAGAAATACATTGAGAATTCGCATTCTTTATGTGATGGAAATATCAATTCTTCCTTAGTTTATTCAACAGAAAACAACTACTTTCCAGGCTATTTGCCACGTCGAACATTGAATTATATCTGTTGAACATCCAAGAAGAGAGCATGAAAAATTAAAATCGTCTGAAATTGGGAATTGACATCACCTCTCAAGTGATATAACTGAAACTATAACGAACTGACATCTGAGAATTATGATTTGTTGACATACTCCTGTCATCTGGGCATTTGTTTTTTGGATGAATGATGAATTGATATTCATCATACAGGACGTGGAAAGGAATTCTGAATTGAGAAAACCTAATCACGAATCTGCGATTGAGGTCTATAAAAATAAGAAGTTTCCATCGTTCAAGTTAGAACCCCTTGATTGGGTGAAAGTATGGAAAAGGAATATTCTCAGAAGATTTTGTTTTCGAATCCTTATCGTGTATGTTCAATAGATGTAATCCAATGTGCGTCGTGACATATTGCCAGGAAAGTATAGTTGTTTTCTGTTGAATAAGCCGAGAAAGAATTGATATTTTCATCACATAGAGAATGCGAATTCCCAATGATTTTCTTTATATACCGGGTGACACAGGCTATCGGGCCACCATTGTAACTTCTGCATTCGTCAACGGATTTTTCTGAAATTCAGTACAGTTATATAAGCAACTATTTCGGATTTGATCACATTACAATGCAATATGGCGGACTTCCGGTTTCTCTGGAAATGCCAGCAATTTTGTTTTTTCAAATGGAACACCCTGTATATTTTTACATATTCAAGTTCAACAGGTCAAAACAAGTGCAATCTTGATGTCAAATGTCATTTATTCCACAGCCTACCTAGTTGAAAAATTATTCTAACTGCAAGGAAATTCGTAAACTAGTTGTTGATTTTTGAATGTATACAATTTGTTACTGCACCGAAAAACAATAATAATATTTCATTTTGTTCCTTAATGTATGTTCTAGAGAAACGGGTAGGTGGCCCATAGGGGTTCCATTTGAAAAAAAATAATTTTTGATCAAAAAGTGATGTGGCTGAATTGATTCCTGGATAAGTGACACAAAAAAATATTTTTCAGAAAAAATTATGTTCTTCTGTTATGTGTGACTCATTGTGAATAGTCTTGACCATATCTCATTTATCCACGAGGTAAAATGAAAAAACAATTTTAATTTGATTTTTTTCGAAAAAATGACATTTGAAATAAAGATTGCACTTGTTTCGACCTGTTGAACTTGAATATGTAAAAATATACAGAGTGTTTCATTTGAAAAAACAAAGTTGCTGGCATTTCCAGAAATACCGGAAGTCCGCCATATTGGATTGTAATGTGATCAAATCCGAAATAGTTGCTTATATAACTGTACCGAATTTCAGAAAAATCCGATGACGAAAGCAGAAGTTACAGGGGTGGCCCGATACCCTGTGTCACCCGGTATATATCCATTTTTTTAAGTTCATAAATATATCTGAGAATATTCCTTTTCGATACTCTCAACCAACAAATATTTCATAATTAGCATTTATGAGATTTCATTGAATATGTAAGCTTCTGATGTATTTCAGGGACCTTGTTTGTACCGAATAGGAAAGAATCCAGGATAGCAAGAAGGTATCAAGAGAATAATTCTGCAACACGTATCCTTCCATCAGGTGATTTTTTTCTCATAATATATTGAATTTCGAAAATAGATTCTGATAATCTCATGAATGGAGGTAATAGATATTTACGTAACCAGTTCAGAAAGGCGTCATTTTGTGTGTTACAATACAAGGGATTTTGAAGGACGAGCAAAGCAAGATCTCCTAAAACAATGTTGAAATGAACAGTGTCTACTTCTTCAATTCAAGAAAATTGTGGAAAATTCATTTCCTCTTCATATGAGTTGGAGAAGTCCAATCCAACCTAAAATCATATTTACATCATATTTTTCACCATAAAATAGTTCATTTACCAAAACAAATTCATCTAAGTGTTGATTGGTGGCCAACTCTGCAAAATATCTATAGTATAATTTTCTTCATTTGTAATTTCTCGTGTCCATAATTTGAATGTATAGGCTGGTATAGGTATCCTTTTATTTTTCCTCTATGATACTCAATGGACTTTTTTTCCATTCCAACTGCAGTTCCTCATCTTCTTCCTGCAAGAAATTTATAGAATACAAAAACGAATTCGATATTGAATTGAAAGAAGGATAAATATGTAATTTCTTTTTCAGAAAAATAACTTTTGGTTAAAATTAGCTTACTGTTCGTTTGCCTACCAACTATGACAGTGAGCGAGCTGTGAAAATACATTAGTTATAATATGCTTCAGTTTGATTTCAAATATAGTTGTAGGTTGATTTTACCTCACTTTTCTTTCATTCACCAACTATAACAGTTATAGGTTGATTAAAACTTCCTGTTCGTTATTTGTCTACCAACTATAACAGTGAGCGAGCTGTTGAAATATTTCAGTTACAGTTATAATATTATTGAAATACTATTCTTAGTTCGATTTTAAAGATGTTCACGAATTATTCGTTGTACCAAAAAATATTAACTTGATCAACAAATATTGTCAGTTGAAGTTCAATTTGTTCATGAAAAAATGTTTCTCAATTGTTTTTACGATCACCTTATCATTGAATGTATACTATAATCGTAATTAAATTCAACAATTTTTTTTTGTCAATTCAACTGATATTATTTCTTTGAATGTAAAGACTTTTCCACTTGTCACAATATAAATTTCATCAACCATGAGCTGACTTTTTTGTCGATATGTAAAAACACTTTTTTTTTAATATGAAATTATTTCGCTATACGTAGTGAAGGATCAACTAGACTAGACTAGACTAGACTACTTCGCTGGTCGGGATATGGCTTATCAATGTTTCATTGTAATAGAGGTCATTTCTGTATGTATTCCAGGTAATATGCTTAAAAAACCAGGAATTGAGAGGATGATTCCTCGAATACGCAGATCCTGGAACGATGATGACAATCCAGAGAAGAGAAGTGAGAACAACGGAGTTTGGTTCGGACCACGATTGGGGCGTACCCTTTCAAATCCAGATGAGATGAATAGCCCTCCATGGATTGTGATAAATGGTAATGTGAAAGTAATAGTACACGTATTTTCTGTAGGGATTTGTGCACATCAACTGGTCATCCACCTTACGCCGACATGTTTCACAGCCCATATATGCATTATGTGTAGGTCTTGTTACTAACTTCTCACCTTACTTAAGTTACAGCACTATTGAAAGCAATGGTGAATTGTCTGCAACCGAGTTACAGAATACACAGAATGTTTAATTAGCTTATGATATCGAAAAACTCTCGGAATACCCACTGCTCTGAGATCTATTTGCTGAACTTATTTTTTTTTCAGATATTCCATTGGATTTGGACCATAATGATGTTGATGAAAATGAAATACCAGAACGAATAGCATGTAAATAGAGACGATGACAAGATTTTGGTATTTTTTAGCCCTATACCTACTTTTATAAAGAATATGATGTTATAATATATCAGAATATAACACGATATGCAGACGCTTTCCTTCTGATGACCTCTCATAAAAATTATTCGGAGAAACAAATTTGTCGGTACCTATTTTTTTCATAAAAAAAAATATCAGCTGATAGAGGCCATATTATCCGAAATTCCATGAAATAAACGTGTCATCGAAGCCTTAAGGCAGAAAAAGAAGAACTATAGAATTCATATGTCTCATGAATTCAACTTATCTCTTCATATCCCGAGTACACTGTGATTTGATTTGAGATTTGAGATATTAATTTGTCCACCTTTTTTCGACTTTTTTTTTATTCGTTTCTTTAACGTCGGCCTTTTTCTGCTACTGATACTAATCACCGACGCCGATGAACACACTATACCTCCAGCCGGAAATTTTGCAGGATCCTCTGGTGTTCCAACCAGAGGTAGGGATCTTTAACGAGTCCAACATCCATGGCCTCGGGACCGCCGGCTTAACGTCCCCTCCGAAAGACGGCATATCCCATGGACGTATAAAAAAGCATATCCGTAGCATATCTTGTGCTCATTGATATGGTAGCTGTAGCTATGATAAGCTATTCCGCTACAGATGTACGGGAATACGCGGCGTTTCCTCGATACCTGAGAAACTAGGGCGACGCCCCTTTTTTCGACTTAATATCGAGAAAACATCCTGCTTATTCGATAAATAAAACGATATACCTATTACCTATAGGCTTTTCGTTTGCTGAAATCTCTACTTCCTGGTGGTCTAAGGAAATATATACACTATTGTGGTAAATGTTCTCAGAAAATGCGAAGAAACGAAAAAGCAATAGTTTTTGCATGTTTTTTGCAATCTCAATGTACCATGGAATCTTACATTTTTCGAGTAATCACTGTTAATTTTGATGAATAGCACAAATTTGTACATACTGATCTAAAAAATTTTCGGATTTGAATTTCGTTTCTTTACGTTTTCTGAGAACATTCACCCTTGTCATGAATATATCTTTACATCATCAGAAAGTAGAGACTTCAACGAACAAAAAGACAACTGACTTTCTTGAAAAAGCAGATATTTTGATGCGAAAATTTTCGATTGAGAAGTCAAAATAGGGTGAAAATTTGAATATTTCGAACCAAAAAAATTACAGTGTGTTTGAGACATAAAGAGATGAGTTCACCAAATCTCTTGAGTAGAATAAAAAATATAAAACTTGTTATTTGAATATTTCACATAAATTTTGAGGTTATGTCCAAAAAGTGTAGAGACAGAAAGTATTGATTTTTCCATTACCTACAACCTTGCCTTTTAATTTGTTTTCCTAGGACTTGTAGTTCTGCCAGAAATTGAGATAATCCGTTTTTTACCCTTAAGAACTCACCCCCTTTCACTTCCCGACCTCATATCATCCGTAAATTATTTTTCTTCTCATCTTAGTTATAGTCTACTGTACTCAATGGGTTTCATTCTCCATTATCGTGAATATACGTAAAAAGTCATCAAGAGATGTCCGAGAGACATTTTTGAATACTGCCTAATGTTGTTTCCCTATCATCCTATATGCATGTCCCAGAAGACCTTATAGGGATGTTATTAGGATGTAGAGATTGGTAACAGGAGGACGTCCTAAGGCCGTTCCCATGCTCGCCCTGAGGACATTATTGTGAACGCCTCAGAAGGGCCTCAAAAGGTATTTTTGCTATAGAAGGCTCACGTTGATGTCGTTTTGAATAATCAGTGGTCTCCTCCATTGAAGCTACGTGAAATTTTGAATGTTAACTTTTCAGTTCTTCCAAAGTCGCGTGTAAGGTATATCCTCTACAGAGAATTTGAATGACATGAACACTTCACATTGAAATTCATTACAAAATACCACTCGATACTACAAAACACTTCTGAGAATTATAAATAGGTGAGATTTTTTTATCAATTGTGATATCAATATTGTGAAACAATGAATCAGTAATAACACTTATCATTCTTCAAAATTAAAAAAAAAACAATATACATAGTTGATAAAATATCGAACTCTGGATCTACGGTACCTATGTGGTAACGTTACCTATACCTATCTAAATTTGAAAATCTCATCAACAAAATGAAATGAAACTGCACTGTATGGCTGAGGTAAAATGTTCAGTAATAGCTTCAGAATATGTGATATCTACACTCAGTTCCAAAGAAAGTGACGCTCTTGATATTTGACCTATCTTCTTAAAAAAAAAAAAAAAATAGTAGGCCGATTTTTTTTTAATTTGTTGGTAGCTGATGCATTTGTCTTCAAAACAAAATGAAGAGGTGGAAATTTTTTCAAAGCCTCCGTGATGGTGATGGAATAACTCGAACCATGATTTATTCATTCTTATTTTCTTACTCACCCTTTGTGTTAATTGAGTAATGGTATGCAAAGTGCTTACCCCCTATACGAAAGAGGCCTCTTTAGCGAGCATCACATTTTTTTATCATTGATTTATCTCCAAAATTTTCCGAATTATAGCTTTTTTTGCTGAATCCTTGCAGATTACAAACTTTCGGAATTCATCGAGAAACAATTTTCTAATGGAATAAACTGATACCAATATAATTTCAAAAACATTTTTATCAAACACAAAATTATAAATTGGGATGACTGCTTAATACCGTGTATTGCCTTCCTCTAGCAAGTCTAAGAACTTCTAATCTACGAGGCATACTGGAAATTAAGTTGCTTATCGTTTCCATTGGTATACGATCCCATTCTTCCACTAATGCATCTGCCATTTCTGCGAGACTTTCTGGAGACCTCTCGCGAGAACGTACCCTTTTCCCTGATTCATCCCACAAATGTTCTATAGGATTCATATCGAGGCTTCTCGCAGGACATTATAATGTGGTAATACCAGTAGCTTCTGAGAAGTTTCGCACTACTTGAAGGGGTGTCTTTCCATTCATTGAAATCCCTCCCCACACCATAACGGACCCACCATTAAAACTTCCGCATTCTGTTATTAAATTTTGATTGAACCGTTCACCAGTTCTTCTCCACACACTTTTTCTTCCATCCATCATATTAAGGCAAAACCTTGACTCATCCGTAAACAAGACATTCGACCATTCAGGAATATTCCACTGTCCATAATTTTCAAAAAAATTTCTTCTAGCAGCACGATGTTCGGGCAATAATTTGGGACCTTTTGCAGGTCTCCTAGCTTTTAAATTAACTTCTTTTAGAAGTCTACATACCGTCTGCTTACTTACTGCAACATCACTAATTTGGAGAAGATCTTGCTGAACATTTACCGCAGTATTTGATCGATTCCGTAAAATTCACAATCTCAAGAAGCGATCATCTCTTGCAGAAGTTTTTCGGGGGCGACCAGATCCGACCCTCCGAGCGGTGCTTCCTGTTTATTCGTACTTGCGGATTGCTCTACGAGCAGTTGCTACTTGCTTCATGAACTCCCACTGCACGAGCGGCGTAACGTTTACTGCGCCCATCGTTTACTAACGCAACTAATCTTGCTACTTGTTCAGGATTTATTTGAGGCATCATATGTAATTTTAGTCAATGAAATTAGACACTTAATTAATGACACAACGACAAATGGTCAAATATGGAGGCATACAACAAATTAGTTGCTATGGCAACGGCATTTGTTTTTTTAAAGACATTTAAAGACAATGTGATCCTACCAGAGTACAACTCAAATTTTGAGTACTCTGATCCTTCAATAAATTCAATTTGTGGGATAAGCGTGAGCTATCAGCAACAAAGCTGTAATTCGGAAAATTTCAGAGATACATCAATGAATAAACAAACAAAATGCTCGCAAAAGGAGCCTCTTTTGTATAGGGTGTGAGCACTTTGTATACCATTACTCAATTAACACACAGGGTGAGTCAAAAATTAAGAATAAATTATGGTTCGAGTTATTCCAGTACTATCAACGAGGCTTTGAACAAATTTTCACCTCTTTATTTTTTTTCAAAAGACAAATGCATTACCTACCAACAAATAAGAATGATATAAAATCGGCCTATTATCTATATATTTCTTTTGAAGATTGGTCAAATATCGAGTGCGTCACTTTTGTTGGAACTGAGTGTAGTTGCTAAGAATCTTGTAATACTTTACTTCCATCCATATTTTGTCTGACATTAACGAATAAAAATGGTGGAGTGGAATTCAATTAGGAACTTTTTTCCAGCAGTTATTGTTTTGCTTCTATACCGATGCAACTCAGTGGCTATCCACTGAAGTCAAGTAAAGTGAAAATGTACAGGGTGTCTCGAAACTACATAGGAAGGTTTCAACCAGATATTAATTTATTTATGTATTTATTAACGGACAAGCCAATTATACAATCTACAAAAAGAAAGTATAAAAATGCAGAGCACGTACATATTATTATATCTATGAAGGAGACTAACACCAAAAAAATGTAGAAGGCTAAAACGAATAGAAAGATGAAGATTATGAAAAAAGCGATTGACAGTTTTTTATCGCTCTCCTGAGAGACAATAAAGATGAATTGAATAGTTCAATTTGGTAATTGTGTGTATTTGCAGTTTTTATAACTCTATACATAGATTCATTTTGGCCATAATTTGTCCTACAGAATATCTTGAAAATGTCACTATTTCTGTTTCTTCTAGTATTTGCGGAAAGCGTAATCAGAGCAACAATCTCAGGAGAATCAATGTAACCATTGATAATTTTATGGAGGAATAATAGATCAATTTCCATTCTTATATGTATCAACGTATTTATGTTTGAAATATCTAATATTTGTGGATAGGTATATTCATCCCTATTGAATCACATGTGATATGCACAACTTCTTAAAAATGTATTTTGACACGCCTCTAAAAGATCAGAATTAACTTTGTAAAATGGTGATCATATCAAAGAATTATATTCAAGAATAGACCTCACCTGTGCACAATATATAATTTTAACAGCATCAACAGATAGTTCTTCAGCAGAACGGAGGGTGAAGCCTAGCATTTTACGAGCACGAAATGATGTTTCTATTATGTGATGTTTGAAGGTCATTTTCGAGTCGAAGTCGAAGTCTTTGATTGTATTGGTTACTGATAGATTAGTATCATTAACTCTGTAAATATGATCAATATCATCATGGCTTCGTGAAAATGTTATCGTTCGACATTTATTCAAATTCAGTTCTAATGAATTAATGTGGCACCATCTGGAAAAGTTATTTAGATCGAGCTGCATCAGAAATGCATTGAACCATTTTAAACATCTTCAGGTCATCGGCAAACATCAAGAAGGAACTGTTGATGATGACATCAGAGAGGTCATTAACAAAAAGATTAAATAACAGAGGTCCCTTGTGAGATCCCTGTGGTACACCTGATGATACAGAGGGACATTCAATAGCCTTTATATGCTGCAATTTTATGTCGATGTGTGTTGAATTATTATGAATAGTGATATGATCAGTGTGGGAAGGTTCATATATAGGTTAGTACTTGTCCAATACTCATTTCTATATACTTAGATATACCTATTGTGTAGGTATGCTTCTCATCGTGGACATCTATTATGAAATCTTGTTATGTGATATACCAATCTTCTCAATGGGTCTTATCGTTATCTTTTTCTTATTTGGAATATCACGATTTATTTCAATATCACTGTAAAAATCTTGATCAGTTGTGATTTCAAATCAGATGTACTCATTATACTCATTCAAATATATCCACTGTTAGAATTTTTTTTTTCGAAAATCGCACTGACGAAATGTTCGTTATCCATCTGTTTTTATTTTTCGCATTAGTGTACAATTCTAGTCAAGCAGGTATAACTCAACAGTTGCAACAGTTTATCCTAAAAGAACTAACCAACGCTACGTTGGGATTGAATATTACTCTACATGAAGATGTTGGACTAGATATCGTGAGTATATATGCAATCTATATTTCCAGCGGAATGATGTTCATTTCAGCTAGTCGCTTCATAAATTCCAATCTTTCATTGTAATTGGTTACTGTAATTGAAATCTTCGACAGTCATAATATACAGGTTTTTTCTCACTGAAATTCCAGAAAATTCCCCAATCAATACTGAATTTGGTCCAACAAATCGAATGGAAATATATTTTTTCTTGAATCAACGGTAAAATATTCCATTTAATCAACCAGATATCTCATCGAATCAACCAAATATTTCTTTGAATCACCCAAATATTTAAATACTGTCTGTAGGTTGATCGAGGAGGTGGCACATACATTATTCCAGATGTTTTTTGATTTTCTTTCCTCGTTTTCGTAAAATAAGAATATAAATAATATTTCAATATACGTGTAGTAAGGACAAATCAGATGATTTGCCCCGAAATGTAACTGCGTTCAAAGAATTTTCCTATCAGGGACCCTAAGAGTATACAGTATACCTTGTGTTTGTGGAAAGTTTTATACAGGTGAAACCAAGAGACCTCTTTCAGTAAGGACGAAGGAAGATATAAGTACAATATGAAGAAAAGACATATCGACAAATCGAAACTAGCTGAACATATCCTTACTGAAGACGGACAACATATGGCAGAGTGGAATCATATTGAAACGTATTAAAATCATTGGGAGAGAAGATAACAACCAGAACAGAAAAATCAAGGAATCTGCTTGCATTCTTCTGAACGGAAACAATAGCATTGCTTCTTGTTCAGTTGATGAAGACAGAACATGGTATTCACTACAGAAATCTGAAAATGAAAATGGAAAATTCAAGATAAATTCATGAAAACATTCTGTAACTCATTTGATTGCCAACGTCATCAATTTCCACTGAGAACTGAAAAATTCCAAGTAAGATACGAGTTTGCTATTCAAATAACCATTTTTCATGTTGAAAATGGGAGCAGATTCGTTCCCGAAACGTACAAAGCTAAGTAAATATTTGATATTTTCTCTATATACCTCTATTCCTCTTCTCCAAACCTTTTTCAATACAAATTGTCACATACAAGCTAGTGAATCTTTCTGTTAGGCTCTCTGATAGGAAAATTCTTCAAACGCAGTGACATTTTGAGGCAAATCATCTGATTTGTTCTTACTACACGTATATTGGAATAATATTCATATTTTTATTTTATAGAAACGAGGAAAGAAAATCCCAAACAATCTGGAATAATGAGCCAAATATTTCATTGAATCAACTAGATATTTGATTGAACCCATATCTCATTATTTTCAATCATAATTGTTTGAGCCGATTCAATATCTCTTCATAAACAATTCGTGGATGTACTTGATTGGATCAGATCCAGAGTTCATACATGACATATTCACTTGATTCCTACTTCAAATTCAAATTCGCTCTGAAACAAGGTATATTTTTACTAATTTGCTTCATTCAATTGAATTCAACAACTCCTTTGTTTCCGTGTGGTGATGAATAATAATGAGCTAAATATTTAGCTGTGTGTATATCAGCAAAACTTTTTTTCAAGGTAACCTGACGAGTGAAAATGCTACGAAAACTTAGGATCGATCCAAAGTACTTCGAAAATAATGAATTTCATGATTAGAGATAGCTACTTCATTTTTACTGATAACCTTGAATGCTGAATCTTTGATCAAATCTCAATAAGTATAATTTATTTCGTTGTTTTTTCCATATCAGTCGTTTAGTGAATAATCTCGAAATATAAATGAATACTTATACCTCCGAACCTTTGTAATTCTATATATTAATTTATCGAAATTATGAAATTCGGTCATATCAAAACCAATGCCACTATTGTATGAGGATTCATATCACCACTAGTTGTAATATTACATGTCCTAATGAGTCTTTGTATTCCTATTTCCACCTTTTTATCATTAACAATGTCATATATACTAGTAGATATATAATTTTGATTGAAAATATTTTGATAAGTATCAGAGGAAATCACAGAATGTCTTGTATACAGGGTGTACCGTTGGGAAAAGAACATATACGTCGATAATATAGATATAGGGGTTACTAACATAAATTTCATCTCATAGATCAGTCATTACAATAAATATATCGGACACGAAAAAAAAAATGGATTTTTTTTTATCGCTTGGAGCGCACGAAAGGGAATCCCTATAATGTTCAGCATCAGCTCCTGAATAAACGCTATGGAACTTTCACACAGGAAAAAAAGATTTGTTGCACCAACAAAATTATTTTGGTCAATTTTATTTTGAATTGAAAACAATTTCGCCAAATCAACAGAATATATAATTGTTTCAAATAAGCGACTTTATTCAAGATGACAAAATATTTTGATTGAAATATTTGTTTGCTTGAACAAAGGTTCACTCCGTTCAACAATATTCATAATTGCCATAATATAATATATAAAAACATTTTTGTTGATTCAACAATCATCTCATTGTTCAATCAGTCATATGCATCGTGTCTATTTGACAAAACTAGATTAATTTTGACAAAGATTCAACGAAGGACGACATCATATTTTGTTGTTTCAACAATAATTTTATTGTTGAATCAATCAAATGCTTATTTCCTTTTTTTCGACAGAATTGAATTGATTTAGACAATTCTATATTTTGTTGATTCAACATCATTATCATGGAATATGTTGTTATATCGAACAAATATTTTGTTGATTCATTATCTAGTTGCATTTTTGCCATTAGATGGCGTTCCTTTCCACCTTCCTATGCTCGCCTCGATCGGGGTGTACAAATCATATAACTTCCGTTTATATAATTTTATCATGAGTTGCCCTATAACTTCGAATGACGCTTGCAAGCTAATTATCTTTATTCAACTGAGAACATCAATCTGTAATTTCTCTCAGAATTGCAATTATTCAGTAATTGCAAAGCTGAACAATATTTTTCAACAAAATTGTTTGTCAATTGAATATATAATATTGTTAATCGAATGAAATTTGTCATTGATGGCAACAATATTTTGTTATATTCTATAGATACATATTGTTATTTCAACATATCCACTTTCTGAGAAACTGAAATTTTTTTCACTTGAATGAAATTATATGATTATTTCAATCGACAGAATGTGTTTATCAGAGCGGATCGAGATATTGCCCTACTAAACAAATTTGGAAGTCATGTTGATGCAAGGTTGTAGCAATTACTGAAACTGACGTTCAGCAATATTGCAAGTGTATATTTGTAAATGCAACGTTCCAGCAATGTCACGGCAACATGTGATATTGCTGTAACGCTACATTATCAAACTCCACCTTTGCTGAACGTCCGTTTCAGTATTTCCTTCAACATTGCTTCTAACTTTATGTATTATAGGAACGAAATAGTATTTGTTTATTCAACCAAATGCCGTTGATTTGATCAATAATTAATTACATCCAATGAATTTTGAGTTGAAAACTAACAAGACAAATTTGTTGAAGTATCAAAATATTTTGTCGTGGATATATGACACTCGGATTTTGTTGACTTCTCACAATTTTTGTTGATTCAAACAATTTTTTTGTCGTGCAGAACCATTTCCTAAGAAAATATAACTACCCTTTGGAGACCCACTGGGTGACAACAGAAGACGGTTACATCTTGAGGCTGCACCGTATCCGAAAGCACTCGCCTGGCAATGGAAAAGCCAAACCACCAATTTTGCTCATGCACGGCTTATCCAGCAGTTCCATTGACTGGGTCAACATGGGTCCCAAATCAGCCCTGGGATTGAGGCTAGCAGATGCCGGCTATGATGTCTGGCTTGGCAACAATAGAGGCAACACATGGTCTAGGTTCCATCAGACACTGGATCCTGATGTTGATGCCAAAAAATTCTGGGATTTCAGGTTAGATTTAGGAAAGTTGTAACAGGGAAGTTCAGCATGTTTGGCATGCTCTTTGGTAGAAGTCCATATTGCTCAAAGTGGAGTGAAATAGTTGAAAGGAAGGAAGGAATGCTCGAAGTCATCTTCACAATTTTAATGGTGTTGTTACATAATCATAAAGGACATGTTTCGGTTTCACAAAAGATGATCTTCAGCCAATTGGAAGTTCTATAATACAAAAACAAAATCAAAGTTGAAGTGAAAGGATTATCTGATTCGTGCTTGACTTACTCGGAGTTGAAAAAATTCTGGATGCTTCTGTTGATTGTTGAATTGTTGTCGATGCCCATAGTTGAGAAATCGAATTCTTAATGATAAAACCCGGCCCCTGACGAGACGTTTGATGGTATTTGGTGCGTCTTGTCTTGTATCGTAGTTGCATAACGCACCGAGTGCAGATGGAAATATGACATAAAATGATCGTTCTATATTTTATAATATGATAGGTGAAATAATCTCAGCAAGTTTAACTCGTTTTATGAATGATTATCGAAAATCCCCTTCCTTTTTTCGAACAAATTTTGTTGCATATAGGCAACCACACTCGCGTTTTACGCTCGTCAAAGACAATAGACCTGAAATGTATTACCCACTTTGCAGTTTGTTCGAAAAAAAGATCAGAAAATGCATTCAAACAATCCCTTGAGAACAAATCCGTGAATTTATACACTGAAAAAAATAGTCGGTAGTAAATATCAAACGTTCAGTGAAATAGTTGCCAGTCACAACATTCATCTAATGATACAACTACAAAATTATATAATACTATAGCTATATTACATAATGCCACTACAAAATAGTATGATACCTACTTATATTTTAGTATGATACAATTATGTAGTGCTATTAATTGATGAATGTAGTGACTGGCGCCTATTTTACTGAACGTTTGGTAATTACTACCGACTATTTCTCTGAGTGTAGTCAAGATGCTACATTTGTTTTGAAAACGAAACAATACTTTTGACATGTTGAGCCCATGCACAAGGTATCTTGAATGGGTTTGCCTTCAGTCTATATTCCGTGAATATTATTATTATTATTATTATTGGTTATCAAGGTGCTAACTGGAGAACACATAGGGAATGCTATCTCTACTCACCAGTATGGATTTCGACACAAATGTGGAACCATTCACCCAATTTCAGTCCTCGTATCAAATATACAAACAAGCAAACTTTCCGGATTTCGCAGTGCAGCTATCTTTCTTGACATCAACAAAGCTTCTGACAGCGTGTGGCACAAAGGAATACTTTACAAATCATGTACTTCGAACTGCCCTAAACATATAATACATTCAATAAAGGATTATCTAGACAAAAGGCCCTGCAAAGAAAAGTACATTTGGCACAATCAATAATTTTCCACCCGCATCAAGGACTTCCCCAGGGCTCACCCTTGTCTCCATTTCTCTACAATATATATTGTTTCGACATATTCAATTGATAGGATCACAATCTACATACAATTTGCTGATGATACAGTCATTATAAGTCATCATAAATCACTTGAAAAAGCAGTTGAAGAGTTACAAAACGCAATTCGGAACACTATGAGATGGTGTAACAAGTGTAGGCTAAAACCAAATTCAGAAAAATCCCAAGTGATACTTTCCAATCAAAAAATTTCAGATGATTTACCCACTGTAACTGTGAACAATCATGCAGTGAGAACTAGGACATTAGTTGAATATCTGGGAGTTTACTTAGATCAAAAACTGAACTTTAACCATCATACCCAGTTGGTGAAAAAAAATGAATCACAAGAGCTGAACATTTTCGAAGCCTAGCTCACAAGAATAAAGGAATTAGCAAAAGAACTGCAGCACATATTTATAAAACCATTTGCCGCCCAAATCTTGAGTATGCTCACCCAATATACATAAACACGAGGAAGACGGCACTGAACAATTTGGAAGTAGCAGAAAGAGCTAGCCTGAGAGCCATTACCAAAATCCGGCAACCTCAAAATCTTCTTCACCATACATCAAACGAACTTCTATATCGGCTGACCAGGGTGCAACCAATTTATAAGAGACTGAAAAAGCTAACATTGGAGTTTTCCAAGAACGAATTCAATCTCCAGAGTATCCAATTCCAGGGTTTACAGAGAGATCTAACAGTGAACCCAAGACGGAAGTTTCCGGAAAACACACTATCGGAATGCTTAATCAATTCAGAAGACTGAAATTCCTTCAAAATTCTTGCCTCACAATAAACTTCTCTTCTTTATTTTTCAACTCTAGCAAATTTAATAATTTCATATATCTTGTACATACAATAATGATGAATTTAAACTCAATGTATAATCACTGTGTAACACAGGCTGAAGGACCTCGGTCGGTATCCAATAAAGCTTCTTAATTTTTTTTTGTCGCTTGCAGCATACGAAAGGAAATCATTATTATTGTTCCTATTATTGCTGTCGTTATTATCATTATTGTTCCTATAATTGTTGTCGTTATTATTATCATTGTTATACTTTATTAATTTTGTTATATTGATTTATTGCATTCATTATATCTTTCACAACAAACAAGTTCTAGTTTGTAAGATTCTGTCAGTTTATTCAATCACTAACTGTGTATCTCATCCCAATTAGCACAAATACGTCTAATGGAGGTTTTTTGAAAACTTCCACTCTGGAAATTCAGGACGTTTTGAAGACGTCCATTCCCAGACGGAAATGACGGACGTCTTATAGACGTTTGGGGGATGTCCATTGTCAATAATCAGGATGTTTTGGGGACGTCCATTATAGGTCCAGATTAGTGCATTCAGATTATATTCATTGTTTATTTTCTATGAATACATTATTATTAATATCCAATTGAAAACTTATTTCGAACATAATCTGATTCCTAGGTAGGTGTACCTATAACCTCTATAAACCTTGCACGAAATATTATGTTTCAACTATACACAAAAAAATGTGAACCTTTGTAGATGATGGAAATAGAATCAGGTAGGGCTTTGCATGAAATCAAATCATATAAAAAGGTATCAAATGTTTTCAACTCCAGATTTGATGTTCATATACAGGGTGTTTCCGAAATTGGGGTGATGAATTGAATAGGGTGTTCGATCACACATTATGACACAATAAATGGCAATAAAAAACATTTCTATACCTTTTCAACTTCAATTTCGGAATCGGTGAGTTATATTTCGGAAGAAGTAATCTCGATTTCAGAATTGGTTAGTTCGATTCCAGAAATGGTGAACTCAATTTCAGAATCGGTGAGATGAATTTCAGAAAAAGTCCATTCAATTTCAGAAATGGTATGTTGTATTTCAGAATTGGTAGGTTCAATTTCAGAAGATGAAGATATGCATGGAGGAAGAATTTTAAGATGTTATATTTTACAGATTGGCACCTTACAGCCCTATGTTTAATCCGATTGAACATATATGGAGTGCCTTCAAGTCAGAAGTGAAGAGCTTTTTGCAAGAGCATCGCCAAAGAGTCATAGCTGGGGATCCGAACATATTGCTCAACCAGATAGAATTCAGACTGCGATGTCTTGAAGAATGTGCAGATCATTCAATGAAAATGATAACACCTCAAAGGTGTTTGCATTCTTATAATCATGTGCTACGCTACTATCCTTCTGCGATTCGAAAGGAAGACATCTGTGGATCAAATTGAGATTATAATTATGTTATTGAATTGTTTTTGAAAAGTTGAATATTGTAAATATGGTTTGTTAATCTCACATGCAATTGGAAACATTTCAAACAAATATAAGGATTTATTTTCTGGAATTGAACCTACCAATTCTGAAATACAACTTACCATTTCTGAAATTGAATGGACTTTTTCTGAAATTCATCTCACCGATTCTGAAATTGAGTTTACCATTTCTGAAATCGAACTAACCAATTCTGAAATCGAGATTACTTTTTTCGAAATATAACTTTCCAATTCCGAAATTGAAGTTGAAAAGGTATAGCAAATGAAAATTTTCAAAATATTGATCATTTGACTCACCATAGTTTTGGAAGCACTGGCTTGGTTCCCGTGTACAGAGAGCTCTCTTGCACTACTCCCGCTCTGTTGCCAGCTCATGTACTTATCCTTACATCCACTGTTTCTTGAGATGCACCCAGGTGTTCAAAATTAGCGCTACTCATTTCTCGCACGGCGTAGTAATGATTCGCAAGCCCGCTGAAAACTATCTTGTTGTCGCATTACTTGAACCGCATTGTTCATTTTTTCTCTTAAAAACTCTTGGTGGCCACGGTACAGGCCCTCCACGACCAATCCATTTCTGTTGAAATTCGCCGTTCAAAAATTTCCGAACTATTGCACAGTAATGACTAGGAGCTTCATCATGGCATGAAAAACATTATTTGTCTAAGTCCCAATGGCAAATCTTCTGGAAGAGTATCTAGATCATGTTGCAAAGATTCCAAATAGGAAAGTCCATTCATTCTTGGCGGCAACTCATGAAGTCCAATTACAACTACGTTCATCACTACACCCCATGGATTGATCGAAAAGCGATGTTGAAAATTAGTTTACTTAGTCACATGTGAATTTTCAACTGCCCAGTGGTGATAATTATGATAATTGAAAATACCATTTCGGTTGAATGTTATCAGTGGAAAGAATTTCATTCAGGAAATTTGGATTGACTTTATGTTGACCTAGTATCCATTCACAGAATTGTATCCTTCGGGATAATCTTCTGGCTGCAACGACTGCACACGCTGCAAGCTAATTTCGAGTTGTAACACGAAATTGAGCTAATTTCGAGTTATAACTCAAGAAAAAAATATCTCATGTCCGTTCTACGCTTTCGTAGAATTTATTCGCGAAAATCACGAAGTGTGCGGCCTCTGGTGGCTACCTGTACAAGTCTTGCGAGTATGAACAACAAATATGGCGACCATTGTTTTGAATTTCATAAATATGTGTTTTATTGCAAAAATAATTCATTTGTTGAAGTGCATATTCCAGAACCTCATTTCTCCCTGATGAAAGAACTCGAATTATTGCATGAACTTTTATTGTTTACAATGAAGAAACCAGTACCTACCTTATTAGAATATAATATACATTTGAATTAGAATCATTGTATAAGTGTTGGTTGCAATGATTCGATCTTGAGAATAACTTGAAGTCCTCCATTGCTGGAGATCCTTATTTATGTAAATCGATGATATTGTTCATTCTGAGCAGCCTCTCTCCAACCATATCTTCTTTCCCAACCCCTTCACTAGAATTCCATCTCCTTCACAAGAGCCAGTGATATTTCTTGATGAATTCAATTATTTCATCATACCCATACCATATTGTTGTAATAGCTGATTGCTTGTATGGTTCCATTCCAGTCCATGCAAGTGTTAAGTGGACCATTCCGATCATTCCTTATGTTTGAAAACTGGGATTGTAGTGTGATATCAATGATTAATACCACCATTGTCCACATCAAAATGGCAATTTCACTGCACAAAAAGTAATTTTTTCCATACTGGAAACCTTGTACGTATTTCAAGACGAGTTTCAAGATGTCAACTTATTATTCACTATTTCGCAAAATAATTTGGAAATAACCAATTTGCAATGAGTGCATACTGCATACGGCAATGTTTTTTTCTACGACTGCTATGAAAAGTAGCGTAATTCTCATGGCTTACTCAATTTCAAAACCACGAATTGCTCATACCTGTGAGAAATATTATTTCTCACAGCACTTTGCCAACACCACGCATAGTAGGTACCTTTTATATGGAGAATCAACTAAAATCGACAAAAACTTAGTTGGCCGCTGTTGTCACGAACAACTGTCAACAGAATTTATTTTAATTTTTGAGGTAGTTATCAATCGTGTTTCGATAAAAAATCGCAATTTCATTGAATATTAGTAAGACATAATATACATATTTGTACCAGTGATAGGTAAATAATATGGAAACTTATGAAAGCAGTGACGATTTTGACAATACTCCACCAGAAATATTGGAACAAGCGGCAAAAGTAACATTAGATTTGTTGCCGGAAATTTCCCGAAAGAAGTATGAATTGGCATATGGGAAATTCATGGAATGGAGAAGAAATACGAAAATAAAATCGTTTTCGGAAAGTGTACTTTTGGTATACTTCGAAGAAATGTCGAAAACTTTGAAGGCGTCAACACTTTGGTCACAATATTCGATGTTGAAAAGTACCATCAGTATTAAACATAACATTGATATATCCACGTATCAAAAATTACGTGCATTTTTGAAAAGAAAGTCTGACAATTACTTCCCAAAGAAATCAAACATATTAACAGCCGACCAATTGCAGAGATTTTTAAAAGAAGCTCCAAACAAGGAATATCTACTAATAAAGGTGGGTTTATTATTTAAATTGAACTATTTTTCGAATTTCTTCCGCTTTTTTCCTCGAATTAACAGCTTTTTATAGTTAGTGGGTGTATTCAGTAGGTAAAAATAATTAGATAATCTTCAAAAAGTCAATTTCATATTGTGGAAGATGAGTATATGCCTATGAATAAATATTTTAATAACTACTCCGTGGTGTAGTGGTAGTGCTTCCGCTTAGGATACTAGCGGCCCGGGGTTCAATACCCGGCCAGGGATGATATATTTTTTTAATTATATAAATGATTTTACATCCTGATATTTTTATTTGTAGGTTGCAGTGGCTATTGGCGTAGCAGGGGCATGTCGTAGAGATGAACTGTGGAAATTAAAAGTCGATGATTTAGAGGATCTAAATTCGGCTTTGTTGGTGAAATTAGATAACACCAAAACAAAGAAGCCAAGAACTTTTACTGTAACGGGGGAATTTTATAATATATATAAAAAATATGCCGCTCTTCGACCGAATGATTTGGCAGAAAAACGTTTCTTCTTGAATTACCAGAACGGAAAATGTACTAGACAAGTAGTCGGCATCAACAAATTTGGTAGTATGGCAAAGAGAATTGCAATTTTTTTAAAATTGGAAAATCCCCATTTATATACAGGACACTGCTTCAGACGTTCTTCGGCAACAATTTTAGTAAATGCAGGAGGTGACATATTAACCTTAAAGCGCCATGGAGGATGGCAATCCAGTACCGTGGCAGAAGGATACGTCGGAGACTCTATTAAAAATAAAATGGACGTTGCAAATAAAATCGTCGACTCTATTGAAAAACCAGTAGAACTATTCACTGAAATGGAGACAGAAAATGCACCACTGTACATAAATAATCAACCTTCAACTTCTACTTCTACAATTAATATAACAGAAAATTTACTCAAAAACAATGACTTTCCTGGTTTGACCATACAAAATTGTAAGAATTTCACAATTAACTATAATTTCAAATGAATAATTCAACTGTTAAGAGGTAGGAAACTTGTTATTATGTTATGTTATTTTAGTTCTGCTATAACCCATAAAAAATAAAAATTGAGTTACATTGTTCTTTGAATATGTGCAGTCGTAGAAAAAGTATAGTGTGCAACATGTGGGGAAAAGTTGAACTTTTCCCACTTGTTGCACAATATACTATTGTTGTTCATACTCAGTTGGAAATTTGACGTTGATTTGACGTTTAATAGAGCCATCTATTGGTTCGTGATTTTCGCGAATTTGGACCTGAGTCAGTGAATTCGGCACTCGGCAGTGGTCAACTGACACCATCTTCTCATTTCCCGTCATTATGCGTTTTCGTTTCACGAAACACGTACATATCAATTTGTGAATTTCATATATTGAATAAACTCGTATTATTATAACATATTTTTTATTTCAGCTTCGAAGAATGTGGGCTGTATGATTTGCCAGCAAAAATCGATTACATATTGAATATGACTGGACACAGTCAAATTCTGTACGTGGGACACTCCCAAGGCTCCAGCCAATTCTTCGCCATGGCCGCATTGAGGCCAGAATACAATGACAAAATAGCTCTGATGACTGCCTTAGCACCTGTTGCCTATATGGGAAATATCAGTAGTCCTTTAATCAAAGTGGCCGTTAAATTCTATGATCAATTGAAAGTAAGTCTTTCCGAGAGTCGAAAGTTTTCGAACCGTTCCCAAACTTTATTGTCGGATTGGTCAGAAGAAAGCATGTGATGCATGCGCATTCGGTCACACGAAAGTAAGGAAGAAAATCCTTGAAACCCTTAGTCAGTACACCAATGATCTCAGTGGGCTGACGCCATGCTAGTAGTGAACCAGAGTAAGACTCCCTGACTCAAGCTTCACAATTTCATTGCAAAAAATAATCACCAAAAAACAAGAAACCCAACATATCACATGATGGAAGTGGTTCGAAAGTTTTGGACACCTCTAGTCTTTATCACACTCATCTCGAATATAAAAACTTTCGGATTTTTTCAATCTGTTGGAGCGCACGAACTGGTGTTCTTATATAGACCGGCCTTTTGGAGGGTATCATCATGTATATATATCTTGATGTTATTAAATAATACATGAGAAAATCCTTCCGGGCTATCTTTATGCATTGAAGTTTGATTAACATTATTTTTTGATCGATTGATTGAATTGAGCGTTTCGTAACGATTTCGCTCAGCTGCCTGTATTCCAATATGGAAAATATATACTTAAGTAATATGCACAGTTGAACATACAAAGGTATACCGGTAGCGTTCAGCCCAAAAGGTAATCACGTTAGGTGTAGTTGCATTTCAAAAAATCATTATTCATCGTTTCTAAACATGCTGCCTTTGGAATGTATACATGTTTTTGCTATACATATGCTACCGAAAAAATGGTATACCTGCAATTTCGTATATCGAAGTACAGGGTGTGCCTCTTAAAATGGAACCTCCCCCTTAACTCTTTCGTTTTCAGAGATGTGAATTGAAAAGTTGTTTGAAACGACCCAAACTTTTATTTCATCAAGTTGCTTCATGTACAGGGTCATTCGTTTATTCGGAAAGGACATCAACTTTGATTTTTTAAATGGAGCACCCTATATGTATTTCCTGACATGTCGATAGAGCCTTTTTTCTGATTCAAATATATGAGTTGCATATTTGGATGAAAAATAATTGAGTTATTGATTATCAAAGTTTACCAAAATACCGAATCTACCATTCAAACTGTCTATTCATATTTTCTCGTATTGAGATTGAACGATTTAAATTTCATAATAGACAATACGACATTTCCATGGAGCTTGAACAATATACAGTGTGACCCACTTCTGATGGAACCACCCCTGTATCTTACGTAATCGTTGGGTAAGGATCCTGAAATTTGCTGGAGCGAGAGATATAGGTACCAAAAATGCACTCTATGACCAAGTGGGGTCATCTTCAGTGATATACACTGCTCGCCAACAGCCATGAAACCACCCCAATTTCCGGAAAATGATATTAGGAGTCAAAATAGGTTGAAAATCACGTCGGATTCGGAATCAGGACGCCCAAGTTACTAACTATTCAAAGTTTTCCTAGAAGATTTTCAGTTCATCAAAATTAAAATTTGTCTCACTTCTCATGGAAGCACCCCCGTATCTCACGTAATTATTGAGGTAGGGTTCTGAAATTTGCCGGAGGAAGGGAAAGTCCAAAGATAAAGTCAATTACGTGAGATACGGGGGTGCTTCCATAGAAAATTTCATTTTTCCGAACTGAAAATTTTCCAGGAAAAATTTGAATAGTTAGTAAATTGGGCGTCCTGATTCCAAATCTGAAGTGATTTTCAACCTATTTTGACTCGTAATATCATTTTCCGGAAATTGGGGTAGTTTCATGGCTGTTGGCGAGCAGTGTATATCACTGAAGATGACCCCACTTGGTCATAGAGTGCATTTTTGGTATATCTCTCGCTCCAGCAAATTTCAGGATCCTTACCCAACGATTACGTAAGATACAGAGGTGGTTCCATTTTAAATGGGTCACACTGTATAAACGTTATTCCAAAGCCCACTATATTCAACTCACATTAGGTGATATTGAGTGAAGATTCATAATGCGTTATTTTGGTAAATTTTGATCACTAATGAATCAACTATTTTTAATCCAAATATGCAATTCATATATATTTTTGAAATCATAAAAAAAAGACTTTATCGACATGTCGTAAATTACATGGGGTGTTCCATTGGAAAAATCAAAGCTGATGTTCTTTCTGGAAAAACGAATGAACCTGTATAAAAACTTTTCTATTTAACAATTTCTTATATCTCTGAAAACGAAAGATTTAAGGGGGCACCCTCTGTACACATAAAGGATTTTTTCATGTACCATTTTTCAACATATATACCGGGTATGTCACGACGAGCTTACACTATCTGTATATCAAGAATCAGTCGTGAGAAATTCATGAAAATATGCATGCTCATATTTCAGAATACGCTCTCTTCATTTGAAATATTTTTAGCAATGCAGTATTGCCGCCTCTATCAAAATGTAGCAACAACCTTGTTATTTCGAGAAGAATACCCTGTATTTAATCGCATTTTTAGATCCTGCCTGAAGAGGTGATTTCATCGATACATCACAATTGGGTTCTATCGGAAATAACTGTACCACCGTGTATCTGTTCCGATTAAATACCAGTGAATAATGGATCAAAGGTTGAGAATGGGATATGTGAGCCGTTTTGACCTATAATGAATAGTTTCGACACAAAAAAATCATTGAGTTGAATAATCTCGATTTTGAACACCCAATATTTCTGTAATCTTTTCCGATTGACCCCAAGTATGATATATCGTTAAAATCAGCTCTCCAGGGTGAATCTGAAAATGTGTTGAAATACAGAGTGTTCAATTTGAAATATCAATGTTGCTACTACTATCTAGTAGAAGCGGCAACACTGCATTGTCGAAAATATTCTAAATGAAGGAAGAGTATTCTGAAATATAAGCATGCACATTTTCATGGATTCCTCCCGACTGATTCTCGATATGAAGATAGTGAAAGCTTGTTGTGGCATACCCTGTATACTTACATGATGAAACCTTTCCAAAAGAAATACTGGGTGAAGAAATCACGTCCAAAAATATGTCACTACCTGTCGGTCTATAGGGTAAAACTGTCAATGAACGCGAATATATTAATTTGATTGAAAGAATAGGGAAAGGAATTAACGTTTTTATCTATTCCAGAAAAAAATGTGAAATTATATAACGGATAAGTGTAACTTAATGATGGTTCATGTTCGGGTTTCACTGTTCAGAAATACAGAATGTAACCATAATGTATAGGTATACATCCATTAAAAAAAACAATATATACGCTTCAGTCTAACGAAAATTCCTAAGATATACAGGGTGTCCCAGAATTTCTGGGACACAAAGCTACCACGTGTTATACAGTTCAAAATGAGTTGATTGGACCCAACTTATTTATATATTCTGAGAAAATTTTCAGGGGAAGAGGGTGGTTTCAGCCTTACTACGATTTATTCAGGGTTTCTTTGATCACTGAAAGGAGGGTTATTATTTAAAATGTATTTTTGCAAAAACTTTGAACTCGTCTCACAGACAAACGGTACATTTCGGTATATAAATGAATTGGGCCCGATCAAATTATTTTGATCTGTATTACACGTGTCAGCTCTATGTCCCAGCAATTTTGGGACACCCTGTATATTAGATGTTAACGAGATATCTCATAAATTGAACAGAACACTTGAAGAAAATATCGAGTACACTACTTCATACCTATTTGAAAACTAGTGACTATACTGCCCCGCAATGCATCTTTTTTACTCATCCCCTGGATGTCCCAATCATGTCCTTGTACCGCGGGACGAAAATGGGACGTACCTAGGACCCTGTGTTGTTAGGGTTGTCATAATAAAATATCTAATTCAACAAGAAACAATGAACAGGTGTTCAGGTCTCTTTTAAAAACCACACATACCAAGTAGTCAAATTGGTTAAAATTCAGGGTGATTCAGGTTTTGAGGCACAAACTGTAATGGGAGATAGATCTCATCATTTCAATCGGATGAGTTCATATCAACATTAGTCCGATCTCGTCCATAAGCGGAGCTACAGGGGGTCAAAGTTCAATAATTTTGTTCTATTAATTGAAATATCTCGCTTACTTCTCGAAATTTTATTTTGAAATTTGGTGTGGTCAATACTTCCCAGAAGATCATCATTACAAGCTATTTGGTGATTTTCAAAATCTACAGGGTGATAGGTTTTTGTGGGTAGAGGCTTCTTTATCCCTCCCAAAATTTTTCATCGTACGCCTCTGGCATCTTTGACTGATCGAATTGTGTGGATCGTTCAATTCAGAGGCTTCTTTGCTTTTAAACTCTTTTCGAGAAAACGAACCGTTTTTGAGACACCTAAATGAGCATAATACGTTCTAAGACATGTTAATTTTGCCTATGTTTCACATAAATTTTATTCTTAGACAAAATTCGTTGAGAATACAATGAAATGAACTCACTAAAATTGCAATCACTAGTCCAATCTGGATCAGTTACGGGAATACGGAGGGTAGAAAGTCTGAAATTTAAGCGAAACATAGGCAAAATTAACATGTTTCAGAACGTATATGCACAATTATCTCAAAAACAGTTCGATTCTAGAATAAATTGGAGGACAAAAAAATGATCCACACAATTTGATCACAAGAAGATGCCAGAGGCGTACTACGAAAAAGTTTGGGGGGGATAAAGAAGCCTCTACCCCCAAAACCGTATCACCCTGTAGATTTTGAGAATCTCAAAATGGCTTGAAATGATGATATTCTGAATAGTATCGACCACACCAAATTTTGAAATGATATCTTTGAAAGTTAGTGATATATTTCAATTAATAGAAAAAAATAAGTAAACTTTGACCCCCTGTAGCTCCGCTACTGAACGAGATCGAACTGATGTATATATGAACTTTTCTGATTCAAATGATGGAATCTACCTCCCATTTCAGTTTGTGCTCTAAAACCTGAATCACCCTGTATATTGGTTATATCAATGAAACAAAAACAATGAACGCGTATTCGCAAATACAATTAGGTATTATTAGACTAATCATTCCTCCCTCTATATGTTTCAGTTATTTCATTTGTGGAAAAGTAATTTTTTATGGAAAAATACTCACAAAATGAACAGAAAACCACAAAAATCTGATTGAAATCTCGATAGAAATATTGTAAGAGTGAAAACAATCTCTTCTGATATTCTTCAAAATTCGAGAATTATAAAAAATTATGTAAGCATTTCGTTTCACAAACTTGAATAGTTATAAAAATGAGGTGGAGAACCCTCTGTAAAAGCTGACTAGGTTGAGTGAGTGAATAAAGTCCGAAACAAAAAGTGGTTCGAGATCTAATATGAGTTGTAGATCCTGCTCTTCCTAACCTCTCGCAAGTTTCGACTTCTGGGGAGTTGGTTCCCTACTTCGAAGTAGCGATATACAAAAAAACTTATGCAAGACCATATGAAGCCAGCCCTGGAATATATCCTACATCAAAATAGAGGCGAAGGCATCACTGTACTGTACCCCTCCCCTCGTACTATACAGGGTGGGCCACCAGTAACGCCTCGGTCTCTAGAAGGCTAACCACTTATCTTCTTGGAATTCTTCCTCTCTAGGAAGTTGCATGTCAACATAGGCTACCATTTGAAATTATTTCGAAACACACAGGGTGTCCCCAAAAACCATAAAACACTGAAGTTAAACTTTTTTCTATCGAACACCCTATATATTATTTCATTTTGAGATTCTCCCTGATGAGCTGATTTCAACGACCCATCATACTTGGGGTCTAGCAGTTATAATTACTGAAATATAGGGTGTGAAAAATCGATATTTTCCAAGTTCAAGAATTTTTTATGTCGAAACCATTCATAATTGGTCAAAACGGCTCACATGTCCCTATTCAAACTTTTGATTAACTATCTACTGATATTTAATTGGGACATATACCGGGTGATCAAGATTCTGAATAAGGAATACGCATGATTTTTTTTTTAATCTAAATTATATTCCTTCTTCCTTATAATAACATTGGATATTATTCATTAATCTCAAATTTGCTTGTGACTCTAAAAAATTTCATTTAAATGAGGCTAAATATGAAGTCACAGGAAAACGGGTTAGTGGCCATCACTAATATTATGACGTCATAGTATTAGGCCACACAGCCATAGACTAGCGCGACAGAATGACAAAATTCAGATTGAAAAAAAAAGAAGAAGAAGAGGTAGGAGAAGAAAACAGTTTTATTTCTGACAGTGACATTATAAGCTTATATCGTCATAGTTACGATATCTATTATGAGGGTCATAACTCCCTTGGGATGTTATAAATGCTATAATTCCCTCTAGCTAAAATTAAATAAGAAATGCATAGCAACAACCACGCAATAACGTAGCAATAAGGAATCTCCTATTCGCGGTAGTCAAGATCATCATCTGACGTTCTGATGACATTGAAACTATACGGAAAAACATGTCTAACTTCCAATCGGGAAGGTACCTATCTAATGAATGAAATCAGTCAGAAATAAAATTATCTATGTATCACGGGAATTATAGAGCCTTAATAACCTCTGGCAATTGCTGTCCCTCGGGCCAGAGGCCCTCGGGACGCAATCTTTGCCATCGGTAATTAAGGCCCTCATAATTCCCTTAATACATAAATAACTATTAAACGCCAGAAATTTGAAATTTGAAAATGGAAAATGATAATGTTTATACCAAATAATGTTTAGTGCCGCAATGCCTTCCATCAACAAAAGTATCACCAGGAAAAATATTCCTTTCATTGCCAGTGGGATCGAGTGATGAAAATAAAGAGAGAAGAAAATTATGGTTGCAAGCCATAAATAGAAATGATTTATCCGAGAAACCAGAGGATTTGTTTGTGAAGACCATTTCGAAGTGAGTATACGTTCAAGTATGTCCTAGTGAAACCCATTATATATCAATGATTATGTACCTCATGTTATTAGGAGAATGAGAATAATATAATATGTGATTTCGTTTTCAGCTTGAAGAAGATATGGAAAACTATATGAGATATAAATTGATAGGTGGTAATATATTTTTGAAACAACATGCACAAAGAAGTCCTGTTTGATCATTCTTATTGTAGATATTTGCTTATTACTTAGTTATTATTATTCAGAATATTGAGATCATATAATTGAGATAAATTATAGTAATAGAAACTACAAGCTCAGATAATCATAACCTCACTTTCTCTTCTTATATTATTTTCAATCTTTCGGACATGAATGTTTGACATGACAAATAAAAACAGCCACATCCAGTCGGAAATCATCGCTGCAGTTCGGCTGTTGGTCGGAAAGTTGCAAATATTATGATTTTCAATCAGAAATTATTAAATATGCGGGGCTTAATAATGTTTTTCGGATGTATAATTCGACATCTATACATATGAGTAATGGAACAAAAATATATTCCAGTGTAAAATTTTCACACGCGTATACCCTATTCTGCACCACCCGAGGCACCACCCTGTATTTGTTTCAATTAAATGTCAGTAGATAGTTGATCAAAAGTTGAGATAGGGACATGTGAGCCGTTTTGACCAATTATAAATGGTTTAGACACAAAAAATTCTTGAACTTGGAAAACCTCGATTTCTCACACCCTATATCTCAGTAATTATAACTGCTAGACCCCAAGTATGATGGATCGTTGAAATCTGCTCACCAGGGAGAATCTCAAAATGAAATAATATATAGGGTGTTCGATAGAAAAAAGTTTAACTTCAGTGTTTTATGGTTTTTGGGGACACCCTGTATGTTTCGAAATAATTTTAAATGGTAGCCTATGTTGACATGCATCTTCCTAGAGAGGAAGAATTCCAAGAAGATAAGTGGTTAGCTTTCTAGAGACCGAGGCGTTACTGGTGGCCAACCCTGTATATTGACTTTACCTACGGCCACTATAGAAAGTTGCCAAGAACACATGAGATACAGTCTCATTAAGTAGCTCTTTACGCACAGTAAGCACATCGCACAGTTTTCGTTTATTCCGCCAGTCATGATCGCGTATTCGCCGTCAACAGCGGATGACATTACTGTCAAGAAATATAATTCAGACTGTTTATCCAAACTTTTTTGATGTACTATATGGCAGTAGGTAAAGTATAGTACGTAATGCGTGTTGTGAAGCTTCTTTCAACACATATCACGTAATATACTATATATTACCGTCCACATTGAAATTTCATGACACTGACATTTTGGATTATGTATTCTTACTGAAGTGTTTAGTGCTGGAGTGTGGAAATGTATAGGGAAAACTTCTGATCAAGTTCAAGTTTTTCCTCTACTTTCGGCCATTCGTGTGTCTGTTTCTATAGTATTTCTGTTGAGCTCTTGAGCTTGTGTGTGATAATAGTAATTTTCCTAACAAGTGCGGAAAGTGATTCTTTCCCGCACGTGACTGCCGTTGACACGAACGACGCGAAGCGGAGTTCGGGCAAGCAGTCGAGTGCGGGAAAGAAACTTTCCGCATGAGTTAGGAACAATATTTTTTCTACAAGCGTAGGAAATTGATTGAATCGTTCAATTAATTATTCAAGCAAATAGGAACAACTAACAAGAGATATATATTCTCTATCTATTAATTATTAGTAATAGCTATTGTGAACTTACAGTTTGACGCATTATGTTGGTTCATTGCGGAAGCCAGCAGGCCCATTAGGAGTTTGGTCTCTAGGTTCCAGACACTTCTATGAAATGAGCCAAAAATTCCTATTCTTCATTCGGTTTTTTCATTTCTTTATTGTTGCACCATTCAATAAAACGCGTGTATAGCTTCTCATACATTTCTTAAGACTTCGTTGGTGATAACGCATCTGTATCAAATCCCTATAGCTAGAAGTTTTTGATCACATTGTGGCATTTCCACTGAATCGAAAATGACAGTAACGCTGTGTCTGTCACTTCGATAATTTCAAACTTATTTGAGGTTTGATTGGCATGACAAATTGACGTTTCCCGTCAGATCAATCCAAATCTATAGGGGGATTTTTATAATAATCAATTTTTATTTCTCAATATTTCTCAATTTTTACAATAAATAGTGCAATTTGATGGATGATTCTGAACATACATACCTAATACTGCAACAAACAAACTTAAACTTTTATATTCCATCACCAACCACTTATTTTACTAGCGATTTTATCATATCTTTGTTTTCCCCGCACTGTTGCGGGAAAATGACACTTCCCAAACTAAATTGCGTGCGGGTATAGGGTGAATCACGCACGCTTGTAGAAAATATTAATTTTTCTAACAAGTGCGGAAAGTTATTCGTTCCCGTACGCGACTGTCGTTGACACGAACGACGCGAAGCGAAATATATATTTATTTTTCGATATTTCTTAATTTTCACGATAAATAAATAAATTGGATGGATGATTCTGAACATACATACTCAATGCTGCAACAAACAAACTTAAACTTTGATATTCCATCACCAACCACTTATATTTTGCGATATTATCATATCTTTGTTTTTCCCGTTGTTGCGGAAAAATGACACTTCCCAAACTAAATTGCGTGAGGGTATAGGGTGAATCACGCACGCTTGTAGAAAAAATACTTGTCGAGTGGGTCGACTCCAAAATGTTTGCATTATTCATTCAAATGTCGGTTATATGAAGGTTTTCTTCAAACTATTGTAGTGGAGACTGGCTGGTTCTTTTCAGCAATTAGTAGTGATTCTGGTATTCTCTTTTATTATTTCAGTGATATTTAAACGTTTCAAACGTATTCCTATACTATGTACCGTGTCACTTTCGATGACTATTAAATTTCATATTTTCTCGATCACGATATTGTTTGCAAAAAGTAGGTGAATATATTCGTTAATAACGTAAGTTGGGAATTTCCTGAAAAAGTTCTCACCTCTTTGCTATCGAATTTATTCCAGTTAGTCTCCTCACTCTTCATTCATATTCAAGCGACAATATTTTGAGAAACGGCTCCAACAGGGTATTTAAATATCTACTTTATTTTTATAGCTAGTCATCGATGTTCTGGGATTACATGAGCTTATACCCCACTCATGGTTCATTCAGGAATTGGGTAAACTTATGTGCTCCGATGGATCGCCAATTCAAAAATATTGTGTCACATTGATATTTAGTCTGGTAGGATTCGACTCACCTCAGCTCAATACAGTAAGTACCAATACTCTCCTATCCAGATTTATTCACAATAGTTTCATTTAATTCTATTCAATTCTTATTTACACTGAAAAAACCGTGCGAGTTTTCTTAGTAGGTACCTCTGATGATATCAATAACAAATGAATGTATCCAAAACTGTTGTATAACATATTCATAATGCATGTACGTACTTCCTCAAGCAAAACGATAGCTATCTTTCACACCAGTGAATAATAGCAGTGAATAACCATTATTATCTTGTCTATTATCGGGTACCACAGGATTTCTAGACCAGTGAACAGTGGTTATTCACCGCTATTATTCACTGGCATGAAAAATGACTATCGTTTTGCTTGAGTAAGTACAACAGCCCCACACGGACGTTGAATATGGATGTTCCGGACATCCAATGGATGTCCAGTAATAGTCCAATGTACATTCAATGGACGTCCAGGACACCACTTTGGACGGACATTTCAAGTCTTGAAAAGATCTATTTGACGTACATTGGGCGTCCATTGTACGTCCATATCTAGAGAAAATATCCAAAAAACAAGCACTGTGTATATCTTCTGGGCGTCCACGGTATCTTTCAAACGGATAGAAATTTACCGGAAGACCATAGCACAGTTACCATATGGGAAACAATTGGGAACAGAGATATTAGTTATTCAAACATCCATAAATTCTCAATTATTGATATGTATTGGTTATATTCCTATTTAGCAATACAAAATCAATTGTCTCACAATATTCCTTCATGATTTGTGGCTTCTTACTTGAAAGACATTTGTGAAAATATAGTTTCTACTTATATTAATTCACACTATAGAGGACATTTGAAACGGTGAACGTGACAACACAGCGCGCACTACTTGTGGGCGTGGTCTTGTCCCTGCTCAGCATTCTGTACAATGTTGCCAATACTCCAACATTTACATGATATTTTGTGATGGAGTATAAGAAATATTTGGACATGCTGGTTGCTCGAAAAAGTCATGAACTATAATGTCATTAGTACATCATATAATGTCGTTTCATTCAACGACGGGACTCTCACATCTTTCTGATACCTTGATTATAATTAGTGAATTGACAACCTTGCTTCGCGAGTGGAAATGGGAGATTATCTGACCAATAACGATACAGCATAAAAGCTGACGTCACCATTCATTCGAAGTATCGCCAAATGGTGGCCATGACAGTACGTTTGAAATGGTCTCCGAAATTGAGCAATTTCGAACAACGCATACATGAGTTATTATTTACATAAGAAAGTGTGAGAAGTGTCATCAAAATCACTTCAGGTCCCTAACAACACAGTGAAGTGATTGAATGCCAATAATAATTCATTATCAGTCCACTCACCTATTGTCCCTATTTTGGTTATGAAATATTAGTTCTGAATATCGACTGGTCGTACCCATATAATTGTTTTCTGAATAAGAAATCGAGAATTGTGAAAAAAAGAGTGCTGATAACGAAGTACCTATCAGGGAAATGAAGATTATAGGTAGGTACAGTCATGTGCATAAACAGCAGTGATTGGCTATAGGTCGCGTGCACGATGACCGACCTTGGAGGTAAAACATTGAAACGACACAACCTCAATTTTCTGTTGAACATTGAAACTCAACATCAATTTTTTCATTAGTTCACAGAGGAATCAAAGGATTGGAATAGTTTTTCACAATATTTTGGCAAACGAATCGTGTTTTTTGCGCTATTCATTAATTCAAGCATGCTTTCTCGTTGTTTTGGTGTACAATGCACAAAAAATGCAGCGAGACACGAAGGAATATGATTCTTCAGCTAAATAGTAATCTCACATAGTTTCCATTATGAAATTTCGCCATTTCTTATTAAAATTCCTTCTGCCACTTCTGCAATAGAAGCTAATACTGCTAATAGATTCAAAATGGCTACAACACACACGATCATATTTCGTCAGCATGTCAGACCAGTCCTCCCGTTTGGTTGTGTGTGCTGTGACTTCTCGAAAGCATTTGACTGTGTCGATCACGGAATACTGCTAGCCAAGCTGAGTCATTACGGATTCAGGGTTCTTGTTGATGACTGGTTTGCTTCATACCTCACTGGTAGAAAACAATTTGTGAAAATTGATGGGGTGAAATCCTCTTCATTGAATATACATTGTGGGGTACCTCAAGGGTCAGTATTGGGTCCTGTATTGTTTCTCCTTTATATAAATGATACTTCTAGTCTTCCTATACAAGGAAAATTCACTATATTTGGCGACGATACCACCATTTTATGGCACAGTAGAAATGTAAATGAATGGAAGGCAGCGATCACCAGAGATTTGGAAATAGTTAAACTTTGATGCGACCCAAATCACTTATGTTTTAACGCTAACAAAACCAATATCCTGACCAAAGATTCGATTTTGACGACTTACAACTAGAGAATCAGAATATAGAAAATAAAGCACATTGTAAATTCTTAGGTCTTTCGATTGACAATAGCCTCAAATTTGAAGAGCACGTTAAAAACCTCAATAGAAAGCTATCTTCTAATGTTATGCTATCTGAGTTATTTCTATGTTATGCTATCTGAGTTATTTCTAATGAGCTCGGGCTATCTTCAGCGGAAATGGCATATCTTTCTTTATTCGAATCGCATATTACGTACAGTATTGCTTACTGGGGTTTTTGCCCAGATCAATTATTGAACTCAGTGTTCGTTCTACAGAAGAGAGCTGTTCGGTACCTATGTAAGGCTGCAAACCGAGCACACTGTAAACAACTCTTCATCCTACATAAAATTCAGAAGTCTACCTATCTTTATTATAGAGTCTGCGTGCCTTAAGCACAAAAAGTACGGGTCGAGTATCTCAGCTCCAGAAATTGTTCATAACACCAGACAGAAAAACAATCTACAATTACCCATTCCTTTGTATACATTAACGAAAAATTGGCTTATATATGAAAGAAAAAAAATTACAATCATCTTTCACAAGAGATACGTAAAGTTTCGAATCTAAAAACCTTTAGGCATAAACTGAAGAAACAACTGGAAATGAAAGCGTACTATAGTGTTTCAGAATATTACAATGATACCTTCTGAAATGTTTTATATTTTCATTAGGCATCTGGAAACTATTATAGTATTATGTTCATGTATGATATATTACGTTTATTCTTCACATTCTAGTTATTATCATCAATGTTATTATTATAAGTATCACCATCCTATATGACGAATTATGAATATTATTATGAATAATTATTGTTCAATCGTATCCTGCTTTGTCAATGAGTTAACACTTTGGACAATAAAGCTTATTTGATTGATTGATTGATTGATTGATTGGTTGCATGAATCCAATCTTCTTGCATTCTCTTAGAAATTTCACGAGTATTTTTATTAGCTCCTATTGCAGAAGGAATTATGATGAGAAATCAGAGAAATTACCAAATTTCAAAATGAAAACTATATGTGAGTGACTATAGTAGGTACTTCTGAATCATAATGTACCAACCGGATTCCTTCGTCCCTGGCTGCATTTTTTGTGCATTGTACAACAGCACAATGTGATGGCATGCGCGAATTAATGAATATACAGGGTGATTCATAACTATTGGGACATAGGCTGAGGGCGGATTGTTTGGACCAAAGTATGGTGATTGGGCCAAACATGCCTCAATGAAATATTGCTGTGAAAAAAGATACAGGGCGTTTAAGTCGATTTTTTCCGTTTTTTGTCGGTTTTTTGCTAATAATTTCACTGTATATGAAATATATTTCGAAAAGTTTTGTGATTTGGTTGCTTTCTGTCTAGATATTAGAGATATTTCAATTCATATCTTCTGGTTGCATCCCGCATTTATTCATTCATAAAATGATTGTGACGAGGCATTTCAATCGAAAAAATTTTGACTATGAACTCGCATCAAAATTCATTCTCTGAAAACAAATGCCATTACCAGCAATATTATCTGACAGTTCAAAGCACACTGTTTATGAATGCAATAATATTCCTAATTAACTTCTGAGACTCTGAACTGTTCAATAGCGTTTTTCTCGAAAACGGATGAAAATATCGTGTTCAAACATGAGTAGGTACCAATATTACGTAGCAATGATGGTTAGGTCATATCTTCCAATCAAAATCACTCAGAAGTTTCGTCAAAAGAAGTAACCAGGCGATTTCATTATCAGGAATCATTCACGTGTATCAAAATGTAGAAAAGTATATGAAATAATATTTCCTGTATGAAATTATGCCTCTGTGCCAATTTTGATAACAATTGATGGATATACAGTGAAATTATCGGCAAAAAAGGCAATGAAGGCATATTCCCAATAGTTATGACTCACCCATAGCCGAAAAACACGATTCGTATACCATAATAATTGTTAAAAACTATTTATCATTTGTAAACAAATAAGAAAAGTGAGGTTATGTTTAAATGTTTCATCTCCAGGGTCGGTCATCTGACAGTTCTTGCACGCAACCTAATTCTGAGTCTGGCTTGTCAATCTTCTTATCGACTTTGACAATTAGAATCAAAATTCAAACTATTCAATCAGAAATCATCATCATATGTGAATTCGCGAGAATCAATGTTACCAGGTGGCGCTCGTTCCATGTCAAAGCCACGTCAAAACTGGGGGAAAACAAACTCAATCCTCACTCAATCCCATTAGTGCCATTAGCTTGTGTACTGTGTACTGATAAGAGTGATCAGTTTCAAAATTTCTTGACATTAATTGTCAATATTCGATCGAAAACGCTAATAATGCCTGTTGTAGATGTTCTCCATGATAAACATGTGATTTTGTGCGAGGCAGAAGACTTCAACGAAAGGCACATTTTTGCACTTTGTCTACAAACTTCGGCGATGAAATCTTCCCCACATGAAGTAAAATTGAAGTTGGGGTCCAGAGGAACTCCTGTAGAACAATGGATTTGTATTTGTTCATGCAAAGCAGGACAATCTGGGTATTGTAAACATGTTGTAGCTGTTCTTTTATATGTCAATTGATTCACTCGTCATAATTAGTTTGAATTGTTTGAACTATCTCCAATTCTTCACCAGTTCACTGTTCACTAAACACTAAACGTGAATGTAATAATGTAAAAAAATTAACCAACTCAACCATCATCACTACCAAAAGTGCCAACACTTTATGTTTGTCATTGACAAGTTTGACTACAGCTACAGCAAGCTGAATGCAATGTAGTCCATGCACTTTATCCATAGACAACAGTTAGTTTTCCCCCAGTTTGAAGTTCGTATTATGTTACCTAGATGTCGCCCACTTCGTGAATCTAGCGAATAATCTGAAATTTCGAATATTAAAATATCCTATATTATTTGTTTTTTCAATCAAATAAACCATTGGAAACCTCCCGCTTCGCGCAAGTGTTAAACTGACACTCTTTGTAATTATGCAACAAGTTATCGATGTATTACCCGAATTTTTTGAAGCACTCGTAGTATTACTACTGAAAATTCGTTGAAAATATGTTGAACTTCAAACTTATACTTTGATTTTATGCATCCACCAAACGAACTGCAAACTACAGTTCTCAACACACCAAATGGATCGTTCATAATTTGACTCTATTTCGAAGACCTGTATTTTTTTTAAAAATTGACCGATCTTCATGCGGTTTTCGATATCAGATGTGATGTTTCATCGGCTTCAAAGAGAGCTAGAACAATCTGAAAAAGTCCGCAAAACAAAACTCACACAGGGTGTAAAGTGGAACCATTACACTATGGTCTACATTTCCAATGCTGCCAGAACTCGAGAAATTTTTTTCTGATCAAAAGTCAGTCATATTATGATACACTAGGACCTCATCTCGGGACGTTTTCGTGATTTCTCCTTAATTGGCCATTGTAACAAAAATTCGATTTTTTTTCCGAAAGTCTTGCATTTCTTGATTTTTTTCTCTAGAACTCCACTTGAGATGACTATTGGGAAGAACTGTTCTCATGTTTCATGGAGGATAATGAAAGACGAAAAAAGCACTTTTTTGGATCATACAGGATGATAAGAAACTAGGACAAAATCTCATTTCAGTGAAAAAAATAAAAAATGGTGACTAAAACTATGGCCCATTCGATCCAGTATATTCAGAAACGGCCTTCTCGATATCCATTATTTATATTAGACTATTAACTCGAGACGTTTTCAAAAATTCGCCTCTAAATGAAATACAGGATGAAAATTTCCAATTCAAACTTGTTTTCTTGATATTGATGGTTTCCAATATTTATTGCCCAAGTATAAGACACAGAGTATTGTTGTTCAATGTACTGAGTGTTCTACAACTTATATGACAAATTTCAACCACAACTACGATATTACATAAGAAGTCTATCACAAAAAAAATTATAGAAGTAAAACGGGATGAAAAATAAAATTTGTAACATTTTATATCCACTAAAACTATTCTAAAAGGGCTCTATTGGAGAAATATGACATTATTGAATTCTTCAACAATATGAAGATCCAACTAGAAAGTTCTATATCCTAAATTTCAGTACTTGGTAGGCCTCCCCGATTCAACAAAGCCTCATGAAATCGGTTTGGCATAGATTTTATGAGGTTGTTGATGAAGTCTATTGATATTGCCGCCCATTCTGGATAAGGTTGTCATTATTTTGGGGTGCCTCGCCTTCTCGATAGGTCAAGTTTCATTCGGCTCCACACATGTTCAATCAAATTCAGATCTGGAGATTATGCTGGTCACCACATTCTTCTAACATTATTGTTTTCTAGAGTTCGTAATTTGTCAGATAAGTTGTGGAACATTCAATATATTGAACAACAATGCTCTGTGTCTCATACTTGGGCAATTAATATTGGAAATCCGTTGATTAAATGATGAGAATCATCGATATCAGAAAACAAGTTTGAATTGAAAATTTCCACCCTGTATTGTCCTATTTTCTTATCACCCTTTTCGAATAGTTTTAGTGGATATAAAGTGCAAGTACAAATTTTATTTTCCATCGCGTTTCACTTCTATTGAATTTTTTTGTGATAGACTTCTCATGTAATATCGTAGTTGTAAAACACTCAGTATATTGAACAACAATTCTCTGTATCTCATACTTGAGCAATTAATATTGAAAATCATCGATATCAGGAAACAAGTTTGAATTGAAAAATTTCATCCTGCATTTCACTTAGAGGCGAATTTTCGAAAACATCTCGAGTTAGTAGTCTAATATAAATGATGGATATCGAGACAACCGTTTCTGAATATACTGGATCGAATGGGCCATAGTTTTAGTCACCATTTTTGATTTTTTTCACTGAAATGAGATTTTGTCCTACTTTCTTATCATCCTGTATAATCCAAAAAAGTGCTTTTTTCGCCTTTCATTATCCTCCATAAAACATGAGAACAGTTCTTCCCAATAGTCAGCTCAAGTGGAGTTCTAGAGGAAAAAATCAAGAAATGCGAGACTTTCGAAAAAAAATCGAATTTTTGTTCCAATGGCCAATTAAGGAGAAATCAAGAAAACGTTCCGAGATGAGGTCCCAGTGTATCATAATATGACTGACTTTTGATCAGAAAAAAATTTCTCGAGTTCTGGCAGCATTGGAAATGTAGATCATAGTGTAATGGTTCCACTTTACACCCTGTGTGAGTTTTGTTTTGCCTACTTTTTCAGATTGTTCTAGCTCTCTTTGAAGTCGATGAAACATCACATCTGATATCGAAAACCGCATGAAGATCGGTCAATTTTTTAAAAAAATACAGGTCTTCGAAATAGAGTCAAATTATGAGTGGTCCATTTGGTGTGTTGAGAACTGTAGATTGAAACGTTGACGTGTCTCGCGAATTTTCAGAAAAATCATCCACTTCCCCGCTAGCGAATGCATTCCAGTTAAAATCTCCACCCATTTTAACCGCATGCAATAGATTGATAGCTATCCATTCTAAAATCATTTTTATCTTGCTCATTTCGAATAAAATTACGGGTTTGTTTCATTTCAAAAACTGACCAACTTATTTCTATTTCTACAGACCTTCATTCCTGTTATCACATCCAATGCACCTGCCGGTATCTCTGCCAAAATGGTCATTCATTTCGCCCAGAACATCAAAAAGGGTGAGTAAATAGTTCCATATTGGCAAAGAATACCAGAGCTTTGCCGTTCGATTGACGAACGAGTTTTGGTGAAGTGTTGTTCGACATATTTCAAGGTTTACTAGGAAAGGATGTGCTGACTGGGCCTGTCGAGTTCGTCTGAGTGGTATTTCTAGTGATGGAATGATGGCAGAGATCTCTGAGGAACATTCCCCGTGGAGGTATATACAGGGTGATTAATTGAGGATGGGAAATCTCTAAAATATCGAGATTTTGCTTAACATGCCTGATGAAACTGTTGCTAGTTCAGGAGATACAGGGTGTTCCAGGGGGAGATTATATCATAAAATTTCTCAATTACTTTGTGAGTTTCAACAGCATGAACATTCAATTTTATAGGATCAGGTTTTCTGACACAAGGAATACGGATTTTCAATTTATTTTGTGATTGCTCATAGTGCGCTAGTGGCACTCTGTTACTTTGGTAAATTACATCATATCTTCTTCGTCCATTCAATGGTGATGAAAACAAGTGAAAACTCTGAAAGCTTGTTAAATTTTAGTCTAGCTCCAACGGTTTTGTTGTTATTCGCTCTCGAAGAGATTTAGGTTCCACTTTATATAACATTTTAATAATCCTCAATTATAAAGTAAGCAAAGTGATTATTGCCTATTGAGTATTGCTGATGGAGATACTGAGCATCGATATAGTGTTCTCGTTGAGAATGGAGGTACCAGACATTGTTATATCAGTCATACTGAGTTTCGCCTTTCTAGAGAAAATACAGTTTTTGTGGAGTTGAATTCAACTAGCCTGTTGGTTTCGAAGGGTGTACTTTCAGTAAGATTGTCATTGACTGCGTTGACCTGCCTTCGTCGTAAATTATTAGTTTCCTGGAAGGAAATGGTGATTCTAGAAGAGAAAGCACTAGTACTATCGTCTACAAAGCGTTTGATAGGGCAAGTGGTTGCTCCAAACAGATCTTTGATATGAAGTAGGAACAATGTTGGTGCCAAAATTGGAATTTCTTCATTCTTGCCTGACTACCTAATGAGCGGTAAGTTGTCATATAGTGCATCTAGCATCTCTATAATTTGATCATTTTCTATATATTCCATCACGCAATATGAGAAGGAATCATCATGAAGCAATCTCATTATTGTATTCCCATCACTCAGACGTACTCGACAAGCCCAGTCAGCACACCTTTTTGTTGTCAACCTCGAAATATGTCGAACAACTCTTTACCAAAACTCGTTCATACATAGAACGACAGAGCTTAGGAATTTTTTGCCAAAAAGGGTATTCGCAAGAACTTACAATCTTCAAAAAATGAAAAAAATCCCAATACCTACCTCCTCTCCCTATCCTTCCTAGGTACCCATCTTTTTCTTTTTTTCTCATCTTTTCTTTGCCTGAGATTTCACTTTGACCTTTTGACATTGTGGAAACAACATAACAAAATCAATCTGTATTCAAGCAAGCACTAAGGTTAGACGTTCCCCTTTCTTTCACCTTTTTGAAGTGGACATTCCGCATTTTTTCCATGTGAACGTAGGTATTTTCGAACGAGCATATCAGCTGACCATGCTGCGTTATTGCTATGGACTTCTGTTTATACTAAAATATAGTAGCTAGGCTATCAAATGGCGGTGTCAAGTCAATTTCCACTATATTGTGACATTTCCCCTTTTTCCCCTGTGGTATTCACCTAATAACCAACTGTTTCAGGTACTTTCAACCGATACGATTATGGATTAGAAAACTACAAACATTACAACAAAAGCTTTTCTCCTCCAGCTATTAACGTGTCGGCAATAACATCGCCTGTTGTTTTGTATTATGCCCAAAATGATCTTTTGTCTTCAGTGACGGTGAGTGAAAAATATAACAAATTCAAATCAAAGAAGGGAAGCGATCTGAACCAAAACATAAACAGGGTAAATGCACCGATTCTCGACCAGTTAACCGAAATACCATGTGATCTTTTCAGGTTAACGATGTTTATTTGCATTTTTTAGTAGAGTAGATGCATTGGTTCTCGACCGTTTTGGCATTTAGAATAGAATAGAATAGAATAGAATTTTATTCGCCACTGTGGTACATTATGTACATATGGTATGTCAATTTGAAGTAAAATATAAATAAACATATAAAAATCTAAATATATAAAAAATATCAGGATGAATTATATCACATAGTAGTAACTAATAGGTATATTTGAGATTAAATAATAAGGTAACTATTCCTCGAACTTTGGAGCAGTATGTAAGCTTCCATCATCATAGGTAAATTGAAGTCCTTCCTACGTCAGGTGTGCCCCAGGGGTCTAACCTCGGGCCTTTATTATTCATAATGTTCATCAATGACAATGTGGATACTCTCACAATCAATCACCTATTGTATGCCGATGATCTCAAGATATACCATGAAATTATCACCGTAGAGGATTGTACTGTTCTTCAAGAAAATCTTGACAGACTCAATGTCTGGTGCTTCCGGAATAGCTTATTTCTTAATGTCTCCAAATGTCATGTTATGTCCTTTACCGCCAAGCTGAAATTCAAATGATACTTTCTGAAATACAATTGACACTTTCTGAAATTCAATTGACTATTCTGAAATACAATTGATGCTTCCTGGAATTGAATTGACTTTCCTGGAATACAATTGACGCTTTCTGAAATTGAAATGACTATTCTGAAATACAATTGATGCATCCTGAAATACAAGTGACTATTCTGAAATACATTCGATGCTTTCTGAAATCGAATTGACTATTCTGAAATTAAACTGACACTTTCTGAAATACATCTGGAAAAGGTGTAGTTTGTCCATAGTTGACCCACTTTGTAGCTTCAATGATAACCACATTATAGCAATAGTGCTGAGTTAAGTTGAGAAATTCCTGTCTATGAGAAATATCAATTTTCTGTGGCTATAATTCGGCAAATTAATCCCCACCAATCGTGATTTCATTCATTGATCCATGTTTGGTGTTTTGGATTTTTGGCGCCAATCGCGGTGTGTATATCTATTGTTAATTACGTCATGGAAACCATCCATCCTTCTCAAAGTGGGCCAGATTTTTTCAAAGGAAAAAACACAAACACTAAGTCGGTCGACCACAAAGTTCAATTCGAAAAAAATTTTGTGACTAGTTTCGGCTTAAGCAGCCATCTTCAGACACAATATATATAGTACCTGTAAAGATATTGGTTTACAAGAATAAAATGACATATTGAGCAAAAAACATACCTATAAAAGGACCCGTGGAATCACATAATTAAATTCATTGAAATATGACTAGCAGGGTCATTTGGCCAAAATTCAATCCGGTGAAAAAATTGATATTCTTTTGAACCGACTGAACAGCCAAAAGAACCTAATAATAATTATATTCAACATTGGCAAAAATTGGGAAAAACCAGCAGTAAATTCACTCACATGAGTTTCATCTTAAAATGGCCCCAACGTCCAACAGCCAGCGGCTGCGTCTCGACTGCTCAAAAACATGTCTGGACGCGAACGTAGACTCCAGACGTTACTGAATTCAAAACAGAGTGGTTGAATATTATTATTAGAAAATATCTCAAAAATTTACCCATGACGGCGATGAATTATTAATCGATCAAGTTCGTGAATTTGCATGTATCTAGGACTATGCAAACAGATATTTTACAGATCATCAAATTCGAGAAAATGTGTGGAACCACAGTTTTCTCCAAGAGTGGTAGCAGTGTTTCAAGATTTTGGATAGTTGCTTCGAGATCCATACAGTTCACTTGTCTCTCCGCGCAACGATGATAAAACATAATGTCATCATGATCCTCTGCATCTGATGACATTAACGCAAATGAAATATTTCTATTCATCCTGACAACCGGTCGTGTCACAACTACCAAAATGCGGACGCTAGATGCTTCAAGCAAATCATGAAATCGTCGCAGCCAGTCGTTACTGCTGGACGTCGCGGAGAGCCGCGAACGCTGGACGTCACTAGAGTCTCGAGATCATACCCGTGTGTTCACCGAACACGCCCGATCGTTCCCTAAGCGGTGGGGAAACGTAAACGGGCATCAGTAACTACGTTATAAATATTGGCGCGTGCCTGAATTATTTTGGAGTCAATTTTGTCAATTTAATGTACTTCGAAACGGAACACTAGAAGTTGTGCCTTATTCTTTTTCTACTCTACATATATAAAAGGTAGACATCAAATCAATAAACATAGTGCTCTCGCCATCGGTATTTGCTGAACTTCGCTATGGGAAAAATGTCGAATAACTATATTGGGATGAAGAATGATCTATACAGGGTGTATCTGAATAACACCGAAATAATTCAAGGGATGAATCCTTGTGATATAATATGATGAATAAAGGTCATATAAACATGTGTCCTAAACTTGCCTCGTTTTCGATGAGGTACAGGGTTACGTCCTGATTTCGAATCCGAAGTGATTTTCAACCTTTCTTGCCTCCTATATAATATCATTTTCCGGAAATGTTGGTGGGTCCATGACCCGAGCAGTGTATTTCACTGAAGATTACCTCACTTTGGTCATAGTTGGTATATATATCTATCGCTCCTTAAAATTGAACAGTTACGTTAGATATACGGGTTGATGATTCCATTAGAAAGTGACATGCACACTGTTTATATTTTTAAATACATCCAGTGGGATTGAATTTTATTTTATGTTGAATATTAGAGTGTTTTTTTATGTGATATATTTGTTTTGTTTACTTCATATATATTTTTTCAGTAGGCATACTATGTACTTCTTTTATATAATTCTGAAATCTGATTCACCCTGTATTTGTTTCAATTAAATCGCTCTTCTCAAAACTTCGTATTCGAGTAGCCGTTTCTTTATTTCCTTTTTTTCGACGATACCGATGTCTTCAGCCATTGGAAAAATGTAAGCACCTTTAATCTTGTCGCTCATTCTTAAGAAACTACACAGGTAAGTGTCGTTTTCTTCGCAGTGTTTTAGGTAACCTATTTAATACTTTGTACCTATCTAATGGCCATATACCAGTCGCTTCAAATCCTGACTTGATATTTTGTTCATTAGTGGTTGAAACTTTGGTTAGTGCTTGTTTTAAGAGGCGGGGAAAAACTTCTTTTCTGATGGTTCCCTTGTTATGTTTTTTCCACTCTTGTAGAATCTTCTTCCACGCTGCCTTTATTGGTCTAAAAACGCTTACATCCAGTGGCTGTGTCAGTTGAGTACTATTAGGCGGTAGAAGAATGAAGCGAATATTATTCTTGTCACATGTTGTAATAACAGCAGACGACAGATGGCTAGCCAGGTTATCGCCAATAAGAACTTTAGGGCCAGGTGGTAAAGTTTTGAAATATGGAAATACTATTCTGTCGAACCAGTCTTCAAAAATACTGGCATCGAACCATCCAGATCGTGAGCGATTATATCTGGCATGAGAAGGTCCGTTTTCTGTCCAAGTATTCCATAGGTGATCAGCTTTGTATACAATATAGACAGGAAGCATATATCCTGAAGCTGTACACGAAAACATCACTGAAGTTGCTGCCTTAGACGTGTCCATAACCTTCTCAGCTCTTTTAGAACTCTTGCGAACAACTACTTTTACACGGCCAGGATCGTCCGTAAAATTGGTCTCGTCGTAGTTGACGATTGCCTCTGGCAAAACATCCTTCATGCTCTTTGTTAAATGGTCAAAATATTTATTAATTACTTCCGGAGAAACTGCAGCCCTACTCTCTTTAATGGATTGCGACAGTCGTTTCGAAAGTTGATCTTTGTGTCGAAGTAAAAATTTTTGTAGCCAGGTTTCGCCTGGTCGGTTGTTCCGGAATTGCTGCACTTGTTTTCCCAATCGGTCAAGATAAGTTTTTACGGTTTCCTTAATGTCATCTGAATCGCAGGGATAACCCCAGTCTGCGGCGATACTTATCACATGAGCCAGATGATTTTCTTCTTCAGCTGATAAGGCCGGTTGGGCCCCAACCGATTTTGTGTGCAAGCCCTTAACTTTTCGATATAAAGTTATGTAGGGAATCTCGAATTGTTCACTCAAATCTCTTAAGTTTCCACCCTGCCTATATAATTGTAACGCACGTTGTAGTGATTCTTCATTATAGTCTCGATATTTTCGACTTCCTGGCTTTCTTTTGTAAATTCGCACCATTTTCAAGTAACCCCTGAAAAGACGATGAAAAATAAAATGCTACACCACTGGCTACTGAAACACGAATAAATTTTTTTGAGGTTAGGGTGTCAAAGGAAATACTCATTTCTTAATAAAAAAAATTGTTCCTGTGTAATATTACTCATATGTGTCTTTGTGTAATAGGAAGTATACAGGTATATAAAAAATACATAAAACTTACTTTTTTCAACACTACACAGTCACTACTAACCAGCACAACAAACTTCCCGCGTATCATACAATCTATCAACTAACAGGTGTCGATACGCTCCCCTCACATACACACGTCATATTTCACACCACCTATCAGTAGCATGTGACTTAAACAGTGGCGGCTGAAATTATCAAGTTACCTCGCAGTTTTCAAGTAGCCCCGTTTCACGGTACTTCAAACATTTTCGTTGAATATTTTCTAAATTGGATATATTATGTACCTGATAATGTAGTGCCAAACTATTGATCCAACATGTAGAATATAATTGCAGAAGCATTTTCTCATTTCTTTCAAAAATTTTTCATACTCTAATAATGAATCCCAACGATCTATACGTTTTTTTGATGACTTATTGCTAGATATGATTTCCAAACGATAGTTTTTTGTCAAATATCACTCCTAGATTTTGGAAAGTTTCAGGTCGGTTCAACACAACATTGTCTAGTCGATAATTGTGAATAATTGGATTCAGCTTGGCGATAAAGGACATAACATGACATTTGGAGACATTAAGGAATAATGTAGAAACTTCACAAACGATGAGATTTCCACAAAATTCTCATACACACGAACATGTTTCACTAACACAGTAGCTTTATCAGGTAATATACTGGTACAATGAATTGAACTAACGTTGGCTTGCTCAACTTTCATATATCCTACTTTCCCAACCTGAAGGATTAGTTACCTGTGGACAGATACGATAAACCTCCATTTTCGGAAATCAGGCTCAATATCTACATTAAAATACGGTGTAACAAATTAACTCGAAAGAGTTGATAGCAAATACATATTATTACTGAGAAAACAAATTCAACAGTGGTGAACTATTGAGGTCTAATTGATCGTTAAGTAAAATGTCAGAATTTTTTAGTTTGTTGATTTCATTAGCAACCAACAAACTCGAAGGTTTATCGTACCTGCAGTCCACAAGAACAATGTCCACAATGTCATTGATGAACATTATGAATAATAAAGGCCCGAGGTTAGACCCCTGGGGCACACCTGACGTAGGAAGGACTTCAATATACCTATGATGATGGAAGCTTACATACTGCTCCAAAGTTCGAGGAAAGGTGTCCTTATTATTTTATCTCAAATGCCAAAACGATCGAGAACCAGTGCATCTACTCTACTAAAAAATGCAAATAAACATCGTTGACCTGAAAAGATCACATGGTATTTCATTTTTCTGAACGGTAGAGCTCTTTCTTCTGATTTCAAATATATATTTTTATCTTTTCTCAGATTTTGGAGAATATCGATTTTTTGGTATTTATCTAAGGCAGGTGTTGAATGCCAGACGACAATGCGGCGATTTCTGGCGTTCTACAGCTGCCTTTAAAATCTATAGTTTTCGAAAACTGACAAAAATGATCTCAGAAAAGTGTATATATTTTTTTATATTCTGGTTTCCACGAAAAGGAATATCCTGTAATGTTCAGAGAACATCGTGAGAACCAAGGGAAATATGGTAGGAATTGGTGTTCTTCTTAAATTTCTGGGGGTTATATGCCTCGAAGAACACCTCCCTTGGCAATGTGTTCCAGAGCCTCGCTGTTCATTGGATAAACGAGTTTTTGGTAAGAGATGCTCTGCATCAGCTCTTCAAAGTGAAATACAGAATGTTTCCTTCGAAAAATACCAGTATTTGTAAAAATTTTGACTTTGCGATGTTTTTTTTCATTTTTCGGTACCTACATTTTCTGATTTCCCATGAAAAATATCTCAATTTTGCCCATTCGAACTTTTCTGTGAGACCAATACGCATAAACAATAAATGGATACGAATCGATGCATATATATAGATTTCGGGAGGATTTAATCAATAATAATAATTATAATAATACAGATTGAGTCGTAAGGAACTGTACATACTTCTAACAGGAATACAGACCTTTGAGGAGAATACCTAATGACCGTCAGAAAACGTCTTCTTCTCTTCTTTACCAATATATAGGGTGAATTATGATATTTGGCAAAACCATCTTTTGGCTATAACTTTTAAACAGCTTCGATTTGTCTCATTTTTTCATGGAATATTCCTCTACACTGAACCCCTAATCGACTGACATTTCCAGAATCGAGAAAATCCAGGACCATTTTTGAAAAATTTCGATTGTTTAGTTTTTATCAAAAAGTTCATCCTGTATATATGGTTTTTGTAATTTGTGACAGGGAATTTTCAAAGCACACAACCAAACATCAAGAATAAAATATTCAAAATTCTCCTCACAGTTTAACAGAATAGAAAAAAAAACGATAAATTATTAGCAAAAACGAAAGTTTGACAAAAAATATATTTATTCGAATATAATTACTTCGCATCGCATAAATTCCACAAATAAAAGTAAGACTCACATTCTCAATGCTTTAGCCCAATGGAAATCAACATGTTCTTTCATTTGCAGGCCTGGGCTTTCATATTTTGTGGAGGATAATAATCACCCTGTAGATCTTTTTCGAATCAGTGGAAGGGATATCTGTTTCAGATGTTAATATAGTCATCGATTCAAATAATTCAATAAGAGATAGATATAGTCAAACAGAAAATAATGGTTAATTCACAATTCTTTTTCAAAAACTATACTGACAAAGGAACATAATGATTTTAGTACAGAAAATCATTCATAGCGATGGCCACCAACATTTTCACCCCCCACCCCATCCACTGATTCGAAAAAGATCTACACGGTGATCATTGTCCTCCACAAGAAAATTGAATTACTAAATCCAGGACTGAAAATAAAATAATATGTTGATTCCCAGCATTGAGCTGAAGCATTGAAAATGTAGGTCTCACCATTTTTCGTGAAAATGTATAAGTATACATTTCCAAATGGATACATTTTTTGCAAAATTTACGTGTATTCATAAAATTTATTGTTTTTTTCAAACTGTTATGAAAGTGTGAGGAAAATTTGGAATATCATACTCTCGATGTTTGTTTGTGACTTTTGAAAATTGCCTGCAACAGTTTAGAAAAGCGCTATACAGGATGAACTTTTTGCTAAAAACTGAACTATCAAAAATTTTCAAGAACGGTCCTGGATATTCCCGATTCTGAATAAATCAGTCGATAAGAGAGTAGTAGCGGAATATTACATGAAAAAATTAGACGAATCGAAGGAGCTGTTGAAAAGTTATGACCAAAAGATGTTTTTGCCTAATCTCATAATTCACTCTATACAGGCTGATCCACGGTGGATGGCCTATTAGAAGTATCTGGAGAAAGAAAAGACAGAACATTCTGAAAATTGGGATGCTTCGATAATTGAACATTCTCTATCCGTCTAAAATATTTTCATCGATACAGTGTTGCCACTTCTATCAGAAACAACTTGCAACTTCGTTATTTTAAATAGAGCACCCTGTATTTTATTGAATTTTTAGATTCTCCTTGAGAAGCTGATTTCATCAATGCATCACACTTTGGGTCTAGCAAGAATGTTTACAGAAATATAGGGTGTTCAAAATCGAGATTTTTCAATTTCAGGATTTTTTTTGTGTCGAAAGTATTCATTATTAATCAAAACGGCTCACATGTCCCTATCTTAACTTTCGATTCACTATCTACTGACATTTAATCAGAACAGATATAGGGTGATCAGAATTCTGAATCTTGGAACACCCTGTATATTTTTTCCAATCAAATTCCAGTAGATAGTCAATCAAAAGTTGAGATAGGGACATGTAAGCCGTTTTGATCGATAATGAATAGTTTCGACACAAAAAAATCTTAAAATTGAAAAATCTCGATTTTGAACACCCTATATCTCTGTACTCATTCCTGCTAGACCCCAAGTGTGATGCATTGATGAAATCAGCTCTTTAGAAAGAATCTAAAAATGCAATAAAATACAGGGTGTTTCATTTGAAATAACAAAGTTGCTAGTTGTTTCTGATGAAAGTGGCAACACTGTATCGATGAAAATATTTTAGATGGATAGAGAATGTTCAATTATCGAAGAATCGCAATTTCCAGAATGTTCTGTCTTTTCGTTCTCCAGATACTTCTAATAGACCATCCACCGTGGATCACCCTCTATATTGGAAAAGAAGACGCAGGTATTGCCTCTATTCGTGATAGGAGTATGTACAGCTCCTCATGACTCACCCTGTATATAATTTTTGTTTTATTTTCACAGGACGTGGAACGTCTCGCAACAGAGCTTCCCAATGTCGTTAGGCATGTGCATATCAACTACACACTGTTCAATCATTTGGACTACATATTCGCTACTGATATAAATGCTTTGTTGAACGACGATTTGATTGAATACATAGACACATTTATCAAAAATCGACCCGAACCTACCACAAGTACCACAGAAGGAACAGAAGCTACAACAAAGCATAACAGTGGGAACTCTATTTCATTATCGTCACTTGTCTTTGTAATTACTTTTATTACCCGATATTTTACTGAATAAAGAAGTTGAGTGAAAACGTATCAGTCAGGTCTATTCCTGTTGAAATATTCGTCTGCTATACATGGTGTTTCATTGGGAAAGGTAAATAATTCAACTGCCCTAATAACACAATTATGTTCCATGGATATCATTAGGACGTCCTGTCGGGATATTCAGGACGTCCATAGGACGTTCAAATTTGGTACCATGGACGTCTGTGGGACGCACCAATGTCCTACTTGAAGACCAACTAGGGACGTCCTTGAGGGATATCCCTAGGACAACTATCGAATACTCAAATCCTACAGTATTCCTCATCAAGCACTACGGAGGACATCCTCAGGACATCCGTAGGATAATCTATCAGCAACGCTGAGGGATATCAATTGGATGTCCATAGGATGTCCCACGGACGTACGAATTATTCTTGAATTTGAATTTTTCTGGGTCCCTCTAGGACCAGAGATCTTGCATAACTGATGAGGACATCCAGTTGAGTTGATGGTCCGTAGAAGGTCCCTAATAGATCCTGAAAGAGTTTCTCAAGGATGTCCAATAGACTTACGTGAAGGACATTGACGGAGTATTTATGGTTTTTATAGCCTACGAGAAATCATTCGTCGGCAAGGTGTTAGTTAACGTCCTCGCAGGGACAACATATCGAAAGTATACCGACTGGGAAGTTATTTCTAGGACATTGGAAGAGCACAGTTCATGTACCAATTGGGAGATTCGACAGATATCCCTAAGGGACATTTCGATTGTTATTCGATCCTGGAAATATTGAGGGTGTCTGTGCAGAGATATTTGAAGGAATGTACCATCAGGGACGTACATTTCATGGTTATCAAGAAGGGACATTATATGAGATCTGGAGTCATGCCAGAATATGTACTACTCGGGATATCCGATGGATGTCCCTGAAGGAACGTTTAAAATCATATCCCATCAGAGACATGCCAAGGACGTCCTTGCATGGACATTCTTCAATATGTACCACGTGGAACGTCTCAGGGATGCTATTTCTAGGACATTTGAAATGATGTACCTGCTGGGACATTCCGTGGACGTCCTTGCTTGGACATTGCGTGAGATGTACGGCATGGGACGTTCCAAGGACACTTATTTTTGGTCCGGGACATTCGGACTTGAATTATACGACATAGGGACGTCCCTAGGACGTTGTGTGCTATCAGGGTGTGGATAGGGGATACTGGGGTGATTTCAAAAAACCCATGGTTAATCTTTTTTCGACATCTTATAACCGAAATACGGGATGTTGGACGAATTTTGGTGGCTTCCGAAATGACAGCGACAGCAGAACCTCAAAATACTAATGACAACATATTGGATTTGAGAGGTATTCGTCAATTGAATATAGAGAAATATGGATGAATTAATCGAAATCAGTTTAGAATATGAAAATAAAACAATAGTTGCATTATTGATACCTATAGAAATTCAAGAAATCGAGTGGTAGATACTTTTTTCCTTCCCATCATGAATTTAAGGAAACATTCTCAATTAATATTTGCTAATGATTTGTATTGATATATAATAATGATGCCTCATCGACTCGGGTATTTATATTTGGAATCGATGTAGGGTTTGCAATTTTCCGCAATTGAAATGGTCATTACCTTTCGATATTGCTTACCTAGGTATTATCGCACGGTAAGCGGTTTTATCAAATTCTACAGGAACTGAAGTCTATGAACTCTGCTGACCTGATCGAAACTACACTGTACTGGACTAAATTCATTTATAATTGAATATCTTCAAATGAACGCGAGTTTGAGTGATGTTATTCCATAGGCATTTGTGCTTCTGGACAATATTTCTCGAAATAATAGTGTATATGCTCTATCACTGACGATTGACTTTGAAGATACCAGAATCGTTGTATTCGAACTTGTTCTTCTAGTAAGGATATCTATTGTTATGCCGGTTAGTGACCGCTGTTGATGGTAATTTTGCTGTGGATTATTGAAATGGCATGAAAATCGTTACCACGTGGTTTACTGCCATTAGCAGCGTAATGACTCGTATCCAGGCTGTCTAAAGGAGAATCGACTGTGACGTTCAACACGAACTGATCCAGTAGCAAGAAACGTTTCAGATGAATGACTAGGATTTCAGGAGAGTTTTGGATCGAAAATGACTTCGTAGGAGATTGGAAAGCAATGAAATCTGATGAGATCAGAAAATAAAAATAACTCATTTTATTTTTAACAATATTCAACTATAGACATCGACGAATACAAGTTGACAAATTAATAAACCTTATAGTGAATTGAGTTTCCATTTCTACTTCCGAATATTACATCAACTCCCATATCTCTCTTAATACTTGTACTCCTTATACAAGAATGATGAAGAGACTGGTGCCGATATGAAAGCTTCTGAAATTGAGTATATCTGCTGACCGAAGAACTAGTCCTAATTCCTGAACAACCATCATGTCAATAGAAGTTTTTCTAAGGCAATAAAGGGTGATTCGAAAGCTAAGGTCCAAAATATCGATAGACCAAAGGAATATATCAGATAGACCCAAAATTGGCATGTCTGAAAACAAATTATATATGTCAGTCATTTCATTTCAAACGAGTCTGAATACATTCAGATTTCAAAATAAATAGTACATACCATATCAAAGAAACTGAAATGTGTTCCTGTTTTGTAGGAGAAGCTCCTGTAGTAAATTAGATTCAAGTGGATCAAGTATATACTGAAGGTGAATCTACTGAGTACTTGGAAGATAGGTAATGAGAGAAACGTATTGATCGGACCTAAAAAAAATAGAACTATAATCAGCAAAGAAGATACATTCATTCATCTAGGTATAAAGAATATTCTCTGTCATACAAAAATTAGTAGCATTTCAATATACCTGTAGTGAGAACAGTTCATATGAATTGCTTCAAAATGTCACTGCGCCCTGTATTTCACTATTATAAGGAACTTTGGAGGAAAATTGAATCGATAGTCACTGACACCATATATGAAGAATATTTGAAGAAAAAAACTAACATAGGTCTATTGAAATTTGAGTATAATAATGAAAGTTACAATTGATTGCACAAGAAATAAACAAAACCCCCCAAAAGTTTCCTTGCCCGTGAGTATCACATTATCTTTGTGCAATGAAATTCATCCTAATGTAATTTTTTTTCTATGAATCGTTGAACATTTGAAAAATGCATCTGTTTCCGTTTACAACATAAAAAAGGAGAATTATTCGTCAGCTTGAAAAACTATCTTCGTTTTTCATTTCTTCACTTCTCAATGGTAAAAGTTGTCAGAAAAATGTGCGAGTCATACTTTGGGGCAAATCATCTGATTCGTCCTCACTACTAGTGAATTGACCTTAAAATCTAGAAAACTAAATATTCTCTTCCTTCTCGATATATCGACATACAGTATTTAGCTACCTACAGGGTTGGGCAAAAGTATGGAACCAGGTGAATATTTCGGTAACCGTTCGTTGATTTTTTTTTTAATATATGTACAGGGTGATTTCAAAAAGTGGTGGATTCGAAAATGTTATCGTCGATGTTGCCACTTTTTCAGTTATTCCGGAATTATTATTAACTTCCTCATTTTAAATAGAACACCCTGTATTTTATTGGATTTTCAGATTCTCCCTGAAAAACTGATTTTATCGATTCATCACATTTGGGGTCTAGCAAGAATGATCACTGAGATATAGGGAGTTCTATAAATCGAGATTTCTCAACTTTAAGATTTTTTTGTGTCGAAACTATTTATTATATCGGTCGAAACGGCTCACATGTCCCTACGTCAACTTTTCAATTCACTATCTACCGACATTTAATTGAAACAAATACAGGGTGGTTTAAGATTCAGAAATCTGATCACCCTGTATCTGTTTCCATTAACTATCAATAGATAGTAAATCAAAAGTTGAGATGAGGACATGAAAACCGTTTTGAGCGATAATGAATAGTTTTGACACAAAAAAATCCTAAAGTAATCAATCTTGCTACACCCCATGCAAGTGTGATCGATGAAATCAGCTTTTCAGGGAGAATCTGAAAATTCAATAGAATACAGGGTGTTCTTTTTGAAAAAAGGGAGTTAATAATAATTCCGGAATAACTGAAAAAGTGGCAACATCGACGATAACAGTTTCAAATCCAGCACGTTTAGAAATCACCCTGTACATATATTCAGAATAATCTAACAAACGGTTACCGAGATATTCAGCTGGTTTCATACTTCCGCCCAACCCTGTATATTTATTGGAAATAAATTCGAACAGATATCGAATAGGTTCTCTTCCATTTGGAAATATAAAGTATGGTGATGATTTTTTCCTTATATTTTTGTTCGATTTGCATTTGCCCAATATTGTTTCCTGGTTTTCCAGTAAATTTGTCCCCACCCTGTATTATTGATTCTCAGTTACTAATATCAATGTCATGTTTCCTCGTTGAGGATACATGACAACCTCGAGCAATCTTTAATTTTTGACAGATTTTGAAAAAATGTTTTTGTTGGGTACCTACTAAATTGCAATAGACATTTTACGAAATGGTGACATGATTATTTCAAGAAGTACTATTAGTTATGTCTCCACCGAAACTGACGACGCTTTCTCAGTTAAGATCACTTTGAACATATCTGAACAAGTTTTCATAATTCTAAAACATATACACAGCATAAAGATTTGATGAGAATAAAATGGTTTTGGTGAATTCTTGTTGTTGTATTGAATACATTGTTTCCGAATGAGCAACTTATAGTAAATTCTATTGGCAGAAACTAGTGAAGTGTATATTGAGGTATGTTTAACACATGCGAGTGAGAAGGAAACATATTATTCATTGAAGGCAGAAGCACTCCACCAGTTCCGGCAAGTCAATATAGTTGATCAATGTTTCTAGAATACCGTCTATCTGAGAACGATAAACCGATGTTCACAAATTTGTTTCAGGTGATCCTTTGTGTTTCGATGGAAAAACATCCATAATGCAATTTTCGAGATTTGTGCCTATCAAAGTGGCCGTAGTTATCTACTTATTGAATGAACATTTCGAACACTTAGCCAAAGGAAAGTTTCTCAATTCCTCATCGAGGACAAACTTTTATAGGTCGCGAGCACGACAACCGACCCTGGAGGTGAAATATTGAAACACAACCTCACTTTTTTGTAGAACATGGAACACAACCTCACTTTTTTTATTTGTTTACAGAGGAATCGAACGATTTAAATAGTTTTTCACAATATACGAATCGTGTTTTTTGCGATAATCATGAATTCAAGCATGCTTTCTTATTGTGCTGTTGTACAATACACAAAAAATGCAGCGAGAGCCGGAGGAATATGATTTTTTCTACTACTGCTATGAGAAGTAGCGCGTTTCTCATAGCTTACTTGGTTTCTAAACCATGTATTGCTCATACTGTGAGAAATATTTTTTCTCACGGCACTTTGCCAACACCACATACATTTCCATGGAGAATCAACAAAAATCGAACAAAACTTAATTGACTGCTGTTCAGCTTTAGATAGTTGTCGCAACTGTCAGAATTAGTTTTTTTTTTACATTCATACAAAAAGCAGAACTTTATTGAACTATATTTAGTGGAAAAAGAAGTTCTTTATTGCACTTAGTGCAATAAAATTTTTATTGCACTCATCTGTCATTCTACTTCAACGTGCTGTCATCATGACAAACATTTTTTATATTGCAACTGCGGTTATAGAAACGTCAGTCAAAAATGTATTCTGACAATTAACAGAATTGTACCTAGTGCCGCACCTCAATAAATCATTTTTTGCTTTTTGCATGAACGTAGAAAAAATGTATGCAACTCGTGTAAAAGTTGTTTATTGCACTCGACGTAAAATTGTCCGACGAGGCCGTTATTCACTTTTTGCACTTGTTGCATAAATAACTATCTAGGGTAGTTGTCATTAGTGCTTTTGATAGAAATCGCAGTTTCCATGAAATATTATTCCAACAATTCATAATAAATGATATTATGTATGCCGAGATGTGACGATTTTGATAAATACACCGCCAGAGACAGAGATAATGGAAGCAGTTGCGAAAGTTGAATTCGTTTCCGGAAATTTCAAGAAAAAAGTATGAATTGGCATATACGAAAAATTTATGGAATCTAAAAAAATACAGAAATAAAATCTTTTTCGGAAAGTGTTTTTTTTTTAATACTTTGAGGAAATAGGAAAGGCGTCTACTCTTTGGTCACAATATTCAATGTGGCATAGTGCCACATTATAAAATGAATACCAATTAGTTACATTACTTGGATTCTTTGGATAAGTGCAGTTGTGGGGAAAAGTACTTTTCTCACTCGTGTGTTTGTATCACTCGCCCTTCAGGCCCGTGCCACTTTCCCCACTTGTTGCACAATATACTATTTCAGGTAAATAGTAATCTCACATAGTTTTTATTATGACATTTTGTCATTTCTTATAGAAATTCCTTTTGCAACTTCTGCAATAGAAGCTATAATACAGCTAATAGATTGAAAATGTCTACAAACACACACGATTAGTATGTCAGACTAGTCCTCCCGTTTGATCGCATGAATCCAATCTTCTTGCTACTTTTAGAAATTCCACGAGTATTTCTATAAGCTTCCATTGCAGAAGGAATTCCGATGAGAAATCAGAGAAATTACCAATTTTCAAAAATGAAAACTATATGTGAGTGACCTTACTTTTAATTCATAATGTACCAACCGGATTCCTTCGTCTCCCGCTGCATATTTTGTGCATTGCATAATACACAATGTGATGGCATGCGCGAATTAATGGATAGACGAAAAACACGATTCGTATGCCAAAAAAATTGTGAAAAACCATTTCAATCACTTGTAAACAAATAAGAAAAGTGAGGTTGTGTTCAATGTTGCACCTCCAGGGTCGGCCATCTGACATTTCTTTCACGCAACCCATAGTAGAAACTAACCTCCGTAGTCCAGATAACAGGCTACAATCACCCAAGCGACGCATAATGCCCAGGCAGGTCTGACTAAAGCGATGTGCAGAGAATTTCCCCATCTGTCGTATTCAGGACCCATCAGGGTCGAATGTCCTCCGAACACACAAGTCAGGATAACGGCAAGGAAAACTGCCCATACAACCAATACAACCTCCTGTGAAAAATAACTGTCAGAAGTTTGCGCAGTTAAATCGGTCGCGTTCGGGTTTTTTCATTATCGTCCTGGGACGGTCCTACAACTTTATTTTTTTTAATTGACTCGACCGTTACTTGATGGAAATCCATATCAAATGAGTTTTATATTCCTTTATTATCTACGTGTAGAATTCCCAAACTGTCATCTCAACTATGGTTTTCTTCTATACAGAGTGGGCCTTCGAAAACGAAACAGAGGCTCTGTAGGTTGCCAAAACCGGATAATGAGAAGAATCTGAAACACCTCAACTACATTTTCGAGGGGGACATCGTCCTACAATATATTCAGCCCTGCGGCGTTGCCGCTGCTAACGAAAAGAAGCAACAACTTTGTTATTTCAAATGGAACACCTTGTATTTTATTGCATTTTTAGATTCTCCCCGAAGAGCTGATTCCATCAATGCATCACACTTGGGGTCTAGCTGTAATGGTTTCAGGGATATAAAGTGTTCAAAATCGAGATTTTTCAACTTTAACATTTTTTTGTGTCGAAACTATTTATTATTGGTCAAAACGACTCCCATGTCCCTATCTCAACTTGTATACGCGGAATATTGTATATTTCCCGCGGAAATATACCATTGTAAAGACGCTTAGTTCGAACTGAATGAAAGTTTTTTCATTGTAGTACATTTTTTTATGTTCTGGTCCCCACGAAGTGGGATATGCTGTAATGTTCAGAGAACCAAGGGACATAAGGTAGGAATTGGTATTCTTTTTAAATTTCTGGAGGTTTTATGCCTCAGGAAACACCTCCCTTGGGAATGTGTTCCAGAGCCTCGCTGTTCGTTGGATGACGAGTCTTTGGAAAGAGATGTTCTGTAGGTCTCCAAAGTGACCACGAAGGGGTGCGAAGCCTCAACTCGATGGGTTAATCTCGCGGGGACTGCCAAGGAAGGAACAATTATTGTTGATATTTCAGAAGAGCATCGACCATGAAAATATCTATAAAATACAGCCTGATCGCCAACTTCTCTACGGTGTTCCAGAGAAGTGAGTGATTTTGTGAGCGAGGCATCACCCACGAGACGAATTGCCCTCAAGTCAGATCTGTGCATTGTAGATCATAAACAGCTGACAGGAAGTGAAATAGCTCCTGGCCTGAAACAGGAAACCAAGTTTTTGGGATGCAATTTCAGCAATTGATCTCACGTGTTTTCCCCTGAAAGGTTATTGCTGATAGTGATACCAAGCATCGAAATGGATTTTTTCAAATGTATGGTTACTCCTCTGCTGTACCGTGAAATTGATGTATCGAATAAGCCAAAAATATACTTAACTTACCAAATTCCTATTTATATCACTCGCATAATTGCCCAAATCAGACTAGCTAGTAAAAGACATTTAAAAGTCACTTATAACGGTAACTTATATGTGATTGATTTCAATAATAAATGCGACATCTGTAACCTGGATCTGCCTCTTAGCTTCCAGCATTTAATCTTTGAATGTCCTATATTAACAGCAGTGAAACCCCGGAATTGTACTTTATTAAACAACCTTGATACTTTTGTAGTGGGGATTGACAACGTATCAGCTAGGGATGCAAAAATGTTAAGCTCTTATATTATAGGAATCTTGAAATTGCGCGCATTCATCACTAACGAATAACTGCAGTTTATAGTTCACACTGTTTGCCCTTTCACTTGTGATTCTCATTTTTTCATACTATCCTATATTGTCATAACGCATGTTCTCTTCCCATTAGCAATCAAAAAAAAATTAAAATTTACATAATATCCAGTTAGGCTTATTAGTATTATAAGGTCTTCAGTTATAGTAGAGCTCAGTCTCTCTGTAAATGTACACTGAAACCAAACTTCTTGCTGAAAGTTAATGTATTTTTTCTAAAAAGCAATAAAATTTGAATTGAATTGAATCGAATTGTATGGTTACTCCTGACAAGCTATTGTTGGGCCCAGTGAGATCGGCTTAGCTAGAGAAAAGGCATGCTTGTGTTTTTTTTTGCATTGAAATCTACCAAGTTATTGGATACCCATTCGAGAATTGTTGCTTGTGTTGTTTGTGTTTTGTAAATCTGCCTAATTTGATATATGTAGTAGGGACTCAATTTCTTGTTGAAACAATTTTTTTTGTTTCCTATGACTTTTTCGTTACTCATAAGCTCTAGTGTCACTAAAGTGATTTTCAGATAATTTCGAATAACGCTATGGGCATATCCGGGTTGAGAAAGGATGTCATTTGACAACATCGCAATCACAGAGAGCAACGCTCACCGTAAGACAGTTGGGCACATAATGACTTTCAGTTTCAATTATGTTCATGTTGCCATTTACAGGGCTGATCATTCGACACATATAACAGACCAAATATATGATTACACGTTTGCTTTCGGAAAAATCGTTCTTACACGTGATAAGATTCATCAAGGGAAAGTATTTTGTTATCCAGGCAGCGTGAGACCTACTTTTCCTGCAAAAACATCTGACAATTAGCACTCATGGTGATTCCAATCTTCAGAACACACCGTATACAGGTTACTTTCGTATGGAAGGCAATTTTGGACTACCGGCAAAATATGCATATGGAGGAAATATTTCAACAGTCACTAAGATGTTATAATCATTTATAGGAATCTTGTATGAATTGATGATGAAATCACTTACTCTTCGCAACCGGGGAACTGTCTTATTCTTGAAGTTTATTAGTGATAAATAATATCCTACTGAGATCCCCATCAGCCAGGGAGTAGCTCTAGCATGAGTTTTCATATAAAGAATAGACATCATATCGCCACCTCCAATTCTGAAAAATAGAATACATCTATTATAGAGAAAAGAGGTTGATCAGACTAGGATTAAACTACACAGAATCGAGGCAACTAGGACAACTTGATTAAAGAGGACACAAGTTTCCAGGAGGAACAAAAATATCACTAGTTTATTATAGTAAAGATTGAAACATTCACGTGATCTCTCAATCAAATGTCACGTGAGACGTCATTGTCCAGATCCCATAAACGCCAGACCTTCATTTTATAAAAGCTGAAAGTTACGAACGATGAGGAAATATGGAGTTTGGATCATGGTGCCTTTCGTCATACGGACTATGAAAGGTGATTTTTTTTATATTTTATTTTTTCAAGATTCCACTTGTTTCGAACTGTCAAACTCTACTTAAGCACTGTTTGTCTGTCTGGCTAGGGGTTAGCACCACCAGGACTGTCTGAAACATCTTCTAAAAAACATGTCAGCTGTTATACTCACAGTAACGTATCAAGCGACTTCTCATTCAACATCAAAATTGATTGATTCGGTTTGTTACATAGATATACAAGAATATAAGGTTTTCGTGAGTATCTTGGTTGTTAGGGAGCCTCACTAATGCACTTACATTTTGAGACATGAATTTGACATGAATTTGACATCCCAGGGATGTTTGCGTTTACTGAAAAGGGTGTCTGGCAAGGGGTAGACACCTTGGTAACGTGTCTGGCAATGGATGACTTGGCTGCTGATATTATCCCGAATAAAATGTTGAGAAATTACCCTTCATAGAATGACGACAGGAAGTTCGAATTTGCAGCACATTTACTCTTTGTAACCTCCCAAAGGCACCATGACCAAAACTTCATATATGCCCATCGTTCTCACCTGTGTTGGAAGCATGCGCTATATAAGGAACTTTCAGCTTTTGAAAAATAAGGAAGTTCTGGCGTTTATGGGATCCTGCTCTATCATTGCAACTCAATCATTGCGACTGCACCAGTGCCTTCACCTAGTATAGTATCTGGAGTGCTTTGATTAATTTGTTGTTTTTGAGTTCTCACTAACTACTATCCGAATATGCAGAATTTGAGAGTTCAAATTGAAATAAATACACTTCTCCCAAAAATTAAAGCACCACCAAAAAATACCTGAAAGTTTAAGGAAGTTTTTTATCAAAACTACTAGTCCGATTTGGATGTTTTTGATTTTGAATGATAGGTTACCTCCTTCTGAACAATGGTGTGCAATTTGTATTCGCATAAAAACCTCTTTTCTATGAATTGTAGTTTTTCCATAAAGTTTGTAATACCCTGTAGAGTGCAACAGTTACATTATCAAGTGAAAATTGTAATTACACTTTAGCATCATCTCCTTTCAACAATTCTTGTGTGGATTTACTCCATTATCTTTCCTATTACTCCAGAAACACCATTTCAAAGCATAACACGATTTTATTTGATTCAACTAGCATTACGAGCACATTGGTAGCAGGCTATGGAAAAATATGGAGTACCAGTAATTGTCAAATACATATGCGTAGTATCAGTGTAAGTTCTTGTTCTGCGAATTGTTTTATCGACGAATATGCAACGAAAAACGCGAAATCTCACACGGAAAGAATGTGCTCAAACATTAATATTGTTTGAGGAAGGTTGGACGTACCGAAGAATTGGTGAACGATTTCAAGTGAGTCACACAACCGTTTCACGAGTCATACAAAGACATAGAGAGACTGGAAATAATGGTCGCAGGCCAGGACAGGGAAGGACTTTCTGCATTAGGACAATGTTTTGTAACAGCTCGGACACTTCAAACTCAGCTGATGATTCACAAGTTTTCACAGAAACTGTTCGTCAGCGACTACTTGAACATAATTTGAGACCCAGAATTGCTGCTCGAGGTCCAGCTTTAAGTAGAGTTCATCGGAGAGCAAGGCTAAATTTTGCCAGTGAACATCGTACCTGCTTGGAGGCTGAATAGCAACATGTTTCATTTACAGATGAGTCCCGATTGTGTTTGTTCAACAATGACAGGCTTAGGCGTGTATATCGAATTTTTCACACACTACATTATTCGGTGGGGGATCTTTGATGATCTGGGGCTGTATTCATTTGACTGGCCGCACGGAACTTGTGATCGTGAATGCTGTACAGCTGAAAGGTACATATTGGAGATTTTAGAACCACATGTAATTCCATTTCCGCCTTATATAGAGCAAAACTTTTTGTTGATGAAATATAATGCCAGGCCTCACGTCGCCAGAGTTGTGAAAAATTATCTAGAGGAAGTCAGTATCGATACCATGGTATGTCCAGCACGAAGCCCGGGTTTGAACCCATTGAGAATCTCTGGGATATTCTTGGAAGAAGATTACGAGAGGAACCTAACTCGCATAATTTGGAAGACGTTCGACAGAGACTAATTCAAATATGGGGAGACCTTGACCAACTTATTTTGAGTATGAGCCGTCGTTGCCAAGAAGTTATTCGTGCCAGAGGCGGAAATACTCGCTACTAACACTATTGTTAAATGTATCTCTTTGCATTCTGTTTCGTTTTTTGGATGTTAATATCCATAAAATCATGTTATGCTTTGAATTGGTGTTTCTGGAGTAATGGGGAAGATAATGGAGTAAATCCAAGAAAAAATTACAAACTTCATGAAAAAAAAAACACGCTACAATTGCTACACCCGGTATTCATAAAAGAGAGGTTGTTATGCCAATACAGATTGCATACCATTGTTCAGAATGGGATAACCTGTCATTCAAAACCAAAGAACCAAAAAAGTCCAAATCGGACAAGTAGTTTTAACAAAAATCTATCTTGAACTTTAGTTAGTTAAGTTTCTGGAAGTGTGTATGTGGATTTAATGGACTGTTCATGATAGTGACAGAAAGAAGAGTGTAGATTACTTACGTTGGTGTTATAATTTGGGCAGTCAACAAAGCAGACAAGTCATTGATATAACCTATGCAGAAATTAGTTATGATGGTGGCGCCTATATACCCATAGAGTAAACATTGCCCTATCGTTGGATAGTACCAGAGTGGTAATAGAACCAATGGTGACAGGATGAATAACTGCATGTCAACGTCCAGATACCATGATTGCCCAATACACTGTAAATATAGATAATAGTAGATTATACCACGAGTGAATAATGGTAGCAATATTGTTCTCGAGCAACATTCCAAGATGATGATAGTCATTATTGCGACTAATAAACTGCTGATCAATCAAACCGCATCAAGCACATTTTTGCTCTAAATTCAACATTGAACATTTTCGCGAAAATTCCACTTATTCGGATGCGGTTTACGTTATTGGGTATATGATAGATAGCCCGCAGATGGAAATACATGGTAACTTCTGGCTATACAGAGCGACAAACAAACCTCTGCAAAATATTGAAAAATTCTCCATACTCCCAAATTTGATGAAAAATTTCTGAGATTCCTTTTAAGCATATTCCCATAATTCTCAAGCATATTTCTCGAAATGGTTTCGCAATTTTTCTCTTATCTTTCTAGATTTTCGAGAAAAATATTTTTTTTTTTTTTTTCGAAAAATGTGATAAATTGTACTACTGACCAGAAATATTCTTATTTGTAGCTCAAATAATATCACAGATTGCCTTTTAAATGAGCTATTGTGACCTTTATTTTATAAAATCTCATATTGTTTTTAAACAAAGTGTTTTGAAACAATATTTGAGAGATATTGTTACAGGAAGACCGAGCACAACACATTGATCAACTTGTATAGTGTTCGAGATTGAATGAATGACAGCAACTTTTCTTGAAGACAGAGAAAAAAACGGGAGAAAAAAATACAGGTTTATAAACCAAGATTGATGGAAGTTATATACAACGAAACTTTGGTAGTTCAAAAATGTATGTGGAATATCACTGAATTCTTATTCATCTCTCTTCTTACCATGCTATTACTCATCATTGTAATATTGCTCAGTGTAGAATATACGAAGTGATTCGCGATAACCTGCTCATTCCTCTGAATAGAAATTTTGCAGAAGTTGACTTTGTTTACTCAAAAAGTGAAACAAAGCAAGAACTGAGATGTATTAATTGGAATCGATGAAACAATAAGCAGTGAAATGGAAAAAGTTACCGGATGTTGGAGTTTGAAGTATCAATTGCTTGCTTACATGGTACCAAAACTCAGTAAGGATCGAGACTGAGGCAGAACTAAAATTTCAAAATGATTTTAATTGGGTTATTGAGTAATCTCAATGGGAGTTTTGAAAACACCTACATTAAAATTTGGAGTCAAATCAAATTTTCATTGTTTCCTCAAAAACTATGCTTTACACTAAAATCATACATAGGATAAAAAAGTCGTTATTTCAATAGTTCATTCTAATAAAAATATGACACTCAGAAAAACCCCGTGGCGTACAATGACATATTCACCATAAATATCGATCAACGAAACCACAACGATTTATCGAAATTGATTGAACGACAAGTGAGCGATGAATGAAAAAAAAAACGGTTTTTCATGGATATATTAATACCCCGTATTTCGATAACGAAGCAAGTTAGGACACAAGTTCATATGAACTTCCCTAAAATATCACAAGAAAACGTCTCTTAAATTTTTTCGGTGTTATTTTGATACATCCTGTATACTCTACGTTCCACGGAAGGTAATTTTGTTTCTTTCAATGGGAGTAAATTGACAACTTCGTATCCTTACATGAAGAAGCATACTCCTACTTTCGATTCACTGAGTAGATACAATAATTTTGCTATGCCTGCTCTATGGTAATTTTGCTGCAGTTGTTAGTAAGTTTTTTTTCATCGCTTGGAGCGCACGAAAGGAAATCCCTATATTGTTCAAAGAACATCGTGCGTTCCTAGGGAGGATAGGGACAGAAGGTAGGTTTTGGAATTTTTTTTGAACTTCTGGAGATTATATGTTGTTGGAAATACTTCCTCAGGCAATGAATTCCAGAGCCTAACCGTTCTATGGATGAAGGAGTTTTGATAAAGTACTGTTCGACATCTTTCGAGGTTGACAACGAGAAGATGTGCTGACTGGGCTTGTCTAGTTCGTCTGACTGGTATTGCTAGTGAAGGGATGATAGCAGAGATTTCCGAGGAACTTTTGAAAAGTGGACGGTCGCCGACCTTTCTACGGTTTTCCAATGATGTCGAAGAGTGAGTGAGTGTGGCGTCAGCCATAAGACGAATGGCTCTTCTCTGGATAGGATCTAAGAGCATCAGCGTATGTTTTGGTGCTGAACCCCATATGTGAGAACAGTATTCTAGAACAAGCCGTATCTGCGCTTTGTAGATCATGAGAAGCTGTTGGGGTGTGGAGTAGCTTTTCGCACGGAACGAGTTTTTGTGAAGCAGCTTTTGCGATGGATCTGACATGATTATTCCATGAAAGAGTGTTGCTGATGGAAATACTGAGCATAGATATGGTGGGATTGGTGGGTATGGTGGTGCCAGACATTACAATATCGGGCATACTGAGTTCCGCCTTTCTAGACAAAATACAGGCTTGAGTTTTGGTGGCGTTGAATTCAACTAGGTTGTTGGTTCCTCAGGCTGTGATTTCGGCAAGGTCTTCATTGACAGCATCGACCTGCCTGCGCCGTGAGCTCTCAGTTTCCTGGGAAGAAATGGGAATTCTGAAAGAGGACGCAGTATGGAGGTCCTTGTGGAACGCCGGAAGTGATGCCAATGGTATCAGACGATACACCGTCCACCACCACGTGAAGCGATCTGCCTGAAAGAGAACTCGATAAGAGATGGCATAGCTGAGGTGGTGAGCCGTATGGTAGTTTGTGGAGGACACAGGAAACATGGTCGAATATGCTCTCGATATGTCCAACGCGACAGCTAGAGATTCCCCGTGTTTTTCTAATGAAGCTCGTCATAAATGGGTGATGTAGGCAAGTAGATCTTCAGTAGATCTTCGGTGGCGAAAGCCGTATTGATGATTCCTGAGCTCTCCAGATATTTGATAAGCTCATAAGCTCAATATTGATGGCTTTCTCCATCACTCTGGAGATTACTGATAACAGGGCAATGGGCCTGTAGTTGTTGGGCAGGTTCTTGTCAACCTTTTTTGGGGATTGGTTGGACTTTGACTGTCTTTCAGCATGATGGAAAAATACTCGACCTGTACGAGACGGTAAACAACTTGCAGAGAATCGGTGTTAATTCTGGTGCACATTTTTTGAGGATAATGGGTGGAATTCCATCAGGACCGTTTGCCTTATTCGTTTTGAGACCAAGCAAGATTCATTTGATAGTGCATTGACGGAAGACGATTTCGGGCATTCGACTCTCAACGGGTGGAATGTCTGGCGGCACTTTTCCTTGGGAATCTGAAGTAGAGTTTGCTGAAAACATCTCTGCAAAAATATTTGCTATCTCCTGCGATGTTGTTGCTATAATGTGCCGTCGAATTTGGACAGTAGTGGAAATGAACTATTAGTGAAATTTCTTCCGACCGCTCTAGCAAGGGACCAAAACGAACGGGAGCCATTAGAACAATCTATGAGTTTCGATCTTATCTTGGCATTGTATGTTTCTTCCGAAGCATCTATTGTTTGGCATCAACGTATTCTGCTCTAGTCGCGAGATTGGGGTTTTTGCGCCAGCGATGGTAGGCTGTATGTTTCAAGGCAACAGTTTTAGAACAGTTTTTATTGAACCAGGATCCCGATGGTGGTGATCTTTTCGAAGAATGAGGTATGTATGTGTCCATTCCGAGCATGATGATCTCGATAGATATTTCTGGGTTTGTTGCACAATAAGAAAAATTTTTCGACACTTTATGGAAACGGAGTAAACGAGAATCCGTTTACTTCTCTGATCAACAGTCAGCATTGATTACAATAATGACATTTTCAATATTACCAACCATGCTATTACTGCTAACATGGTAATAGTTTTGTGTGTATAATAATGCTGTCCACCAATCTTTCTTACAAGCATCTTCCAAAACCATCTTAACTGAAGACCAATGGGGTCCGGAGCCAAAATATGATGAAAGAGTTGCAGTCACTAATACCATTGCTGCCAGTGGGGGAGTCAACCTGAAATAAAATTGAAATAATAGCCAAACGTGACCAAACTGTTGCGATGCACCCAAGTGCATCATTTGGAGGTAGTATCTGTCGTTTACCCTAATACGAGTGTCGAGTAGTTCCATAAACACTTTGTTTTGTAAACTCAAGTCGTTTCCTTTCTGTTTCAATTGATTGCTATTAAATGTTTAGTCGAATTTGAAGTTACTTATCATTTCTTTGAGACGAATAAATGTCACTCTGTACTCAACATGATCCTACAGGGTGTCCCAAAATTGTTGAGACTCAGAGCTATCACATGTAATACAGGTCAAAATGAGCTGCCCAATTAATTTTTATAACAAAATGTACCATTCGTCCGTGAGATGAGTTTGAAGTTCACATGGAAAAACACATTTCTATACACTGTTCAAAAATGAGTGCAACAAATTCGATAAAATTTTACAAAAGTGCATTGCAGAGGATCACCCTTCCTTCAGTGGCCAAAGAAACCTGGAAGGAATTGTAGAATGGTTGAAACCACCCTTATCCCGTGAACTTTTTTCAGAACATTCTAAGGGGTGGTAATAGGGATCTCAATTATGTTGAGCAAAATGACTGATCAATTATTTTTATTTTGTTACTCATGTGGAAATTCTGTATCCCGCATAGTTTCCAAGGAAAAAATGTTTTCTTCAATAAAATTTGATTAAATTGTGATACAAAATTAGTTGGCAATGGAACCAGAGGAATTGACTTTTTTATTGATTGAAGTGGGCGTTATGTTGAACATCAATTGAAAAAAAGTCATGCCTTTGTTTCCACTGTCAACTAATTTTATCATTATAATGACTGAAAATTTGTATTCATGAAAATTCATTTAAACTGATACTTTGCCTACCTGACATATCGATGAATGTAAAACTGACAGATTTTGAATTCCATTCCATTGTGTTTCATCTTCATAAAAGTGTAAGCCAATACGATACCTCCAATAACAAAAAATGTGTCAACTGCCAAAGTACCACTGATAGCTACCATACTGGCCAACTGCTTGCACCACTACAAACAGAACAAAGAAATATCTACCTAGTGTAAATTTTGTACATTGTGTGAAATATAAAAAATTTGAAATTCCTGAGTGATCTTCTGAAAATATCTATTGATTTCGCATACTGTAGCCATCACCTTATCATAACTGCTAGATCTCATAACAAAGAGATTCAGGATGAACAGAGTTGCCCCAATTGTCAGCAGGAGCGAGACAGTACTTTTTCGACCCACCAGGTCTCATCAGCCGCTCTTAGTCTGCTGACAACTGGAATAACTACGCTTGGGGTATATCACCCATTTCGAAGACGCAGGCAATTGGGGTCACTAGGTTCATCCTGGATCTCTTAGTTATGAGATCTAGCAGTTGAATAGGTCGGTGGAAAAATCCACTCAAGTAGGTATGTCAGGTAGTGCCATCTGTCAGCAGAGTGGTTTACTTGTAGTACCACTCTGTAACGTACAGACGTAAGGGTCTGTACGTGTGACTATAGATGGCAACGCCATACAGTGTGTGTCGCGATCTCTTGATCCTACCTTATAGCTTTGCCACTAGATGGCTACAACATGACTGAAACTTTATGTATATCCTGCACCGTATCATAATTTCGAACAAAAATATTCATTCAAACCAAAATAGCTGATGAAAAATTTTGAAAGGGAGCCATATACTGGAGAGAATAATAATAAACATTGTTCTTGATTTTGATTTGCAGCTTTTTCTTGGGGTTTGGATTCGGTTTCATTAATAAATTTGAAGGATTAAGTAGAAAAACGTTTAATTAATCCTTTGAATTTATTCATGAAACTGAATCCAAACCCCAAGGAAAAGCTGCAAATCGAAAACATAATAAGATTCAAGGAAATCCCTCAACAAACTTTGTTCTTGATTTCGAATATATTCTCAATTTTGCTGAGAGTGGAATAATTAGGAGTCATTTAAAATTTGGTATTATTGATAACATTTCTAGATAGAAATCTTTTCTAGATTTCAATCTATCATATTATCATCTGCCAAAATGCTCAAAGTGAAATACCATTTCGAATAAATTCGTGGCATTAGCCAAGAAAGTAGTTTTTTTTTCTCCCATTGTTGATTAGTTTTTGAACATTTTCATAAATATTTTTGTATGAAATTTTGGTGTCATAACGAATGGAGTACAACCAGAGATTATATAACTAAAAAATTATTCTATTCGAAAAAATCTTCCAAAATGGTGTCCTGGCTGAAACTGAATCTATCCAGTACTTTACGGAAACACTGTTTGTCACCTCAATAACGGCCTTCAAGTTTGTAGTTGGTCCGGATATGGCATCCAGAAAAGTATGACCGAAAATCACCCACATCATGCTTATTACTCTGATTCCATATATACTAGAAAACTCTGATGATTTTCCCATCTTGAACAGCTTGCTGCCATTAGTATATATCGAAAATGAAATCAGAACTGGGTTTGGAGGTACTGAAATGGATATAATACAAATTATTAAAAGTAGATAAACGTGAAACTTATGTATGTACCTAATATAATCTTTACATTATGTGAAAAATACTGAAGTTCCTATAGTCTTCAATTTGACTCTGAAAAGTGAACAGCTAATCCGTTTCATCCGAGAATAAATAGATATTTATTATACAAAAGGGAATGTAGTAGACGCGTAGCGGAGGGAGACAAAAGACCGTGAAGTAAAATGTAATGTTATTCAAAACTATGAATGGTTAGTGAATTGAACGTCCTGATTCCGAATCCGAAGTAATTTTCAACCCATTTTGACAATTTGATAATCTCATTCTCCTCATCAAACCATTTCATTTGACATTTATGTCGACAGGGTCATTGTGAAGAAAAATTTGAGCCGTCATCTTGAGGCGTCCGCCATATTGAGTATGAAATGACGTCAGTGACGTCACGTCTACACACCGACCTTTCTCATTATACCTATTTGTAATGATAAAAATCGGCACAGGAGTAAGAATCTATTATATATTTTTGTTGAAGAATAATCATGAAAAAAATGTAGGAATGTGGATTTCCAATACCTATACCTCACAAGAGAAATTCCATCGGAATCGATCAAAATATAAAGATTCCACAGGAGTCTTTGTTTATTCAAGAGAGAAGTTAGTCCGGTCCAGGAACTGTTTGCATTAGTAATATCACAATTGATTCAATAATGAAATTCTGAATTATGGCTAAATATTCAGAACAGAGTAGTATTTTGCTTCATTCAGACAACTCCAGCTAGATTTATTTCATACCCAACTGACAATCTTTGATTCGCTAACCATGGGGTTACTTCGTTGGAAACACCAACGCTGATAGACCAATCAGAATCGAAAGACCGCTAGTATTTTCTCGGCAACACTAGTTATCTCGTGCTTGTGATTGATCAGATTATGTGCTGAGTGAAATAGTCTCTACAATAAAATGAATTTACGGAACTAACAAAATATGCATGATATAGAATATTGATATCACACTTGGCGAAATACTCGAGATTGAATCTTCTGATATTCATAGATATAGCACTCCGATTTTTCTCAATCATTTTATAAGAGTTTTAAGGCTTCGCTAATCATGCACCATCAGACATAAGGCCAAATGGAGTTCTAAGATTGATACATAAGATACATAATCATTCGAACAAGAAGTCATAGATTTGAATTTTTTGGACAGTAACATTACTTTATGTCAAAACTCCATTTTCCTCCACCCTATAACCGACCACGACGTTGTTGACTTTGTTAAAAGTATGAAGAATTCCAAAGCAAGTGTACATGCAGAATCTCGAATAATCTTAAAAAAAAAGTGTATCTATCAATTACGTGAACCTTTGACATATATCATAAATTTGTTTTTGGAACGAGGTATTTTTCCTGAAAAATTGAAAGCTGCACTTGTTACTCCGATTTTTAGAAAAAGTGATCTTCATGAAAATTACAGGGAATCAGTTTGCTTCCGAGTATTTTCAAGATTTTTGAGCTCAATATATATATTAAAAAACAGTTGGTATCTTTTTTCTCTGCTAACGAACTTTTTTCACCAAATCAACACGGATTCAGTCAGAACAAAATTACTGAAACGGCACTTTGTGAATTCAATGAACACGTCATAAATGCTCTCAATGGAAAACTGCATACCTGCGGGTTATTCATTGATTTCTCTAGAGCTTTTGATAGTGTAAGTCATATACTTCTACTTCAGAAGCTGGAGAGATATGGTGTGAGAAGAATTGCTCTGGAGCTGATGAAGTCATATTTAGAGGAGAGGACCCAAAAGGTAGTTATTCATAATACTGTTAGTCAGTCAGTAACTATTGAGCAAGGTGTACCTCAAGGTTCAATACTTGGCCCCTTACTTTTCCTCATATACGCCAACGACCTGATGCAGTACTTCAGTAGTCTCACAGAAATTCATGTAGTTGCTTATGCAGATGACACCAATTTTCTCATCAAGGATCATAATGTGTTATATCTCACAGAAATGATTATGAGCGGGTGGTAACTTGGGCTAATAAAAATCACTTGGCATTGAACATCTCCAAAACCAAATTGATGAAATTTTCATTGAACAATGTCCCTGAAGACTTCAGTATTTTTGAGAATGAGGATTTGAATGTTGAAAATTGCTCAACAACAATGATGTTAGGTCTCACGCTGGACTATAAACTCACATGAAACTCATATTGAAACTCTCTGCAATAAATTAAGGAAAAATTGTTACGCATTGAGGTTTATGTCTAGACATTCTAGTAAAGAGGTTTTGCTGAATCTGTATTACGGAACTATCCACTGTCATCTACGATATGGAATACTGAACTGGGGAGGGTTTTTATTCTACAAATGGAGGCTATCAGAATCATTGCTGAAATCGGGTGGAGGCAATCATGCAGAAATTCATTCAAAGAACTCCGAATACTGACGGTTGCGAGTATTTATATTTATGAACTATGCATATATATTTATAAGAACAGGCCGAACTTCACATCTAATCAGCATCAATACTCGACTCGCTCTAAAAACTTGTTGATACCCAACATGCACCGAACCACCCTTTACCAAAAAAGTTTTCTCTTCCTTGGACCAAAGTTTTTCAATAAGCTAGATGAATCGGTTAGGAACTCACCAAATTCAACAATTTTCAAATCGAGATTGAAAACTGCTCTTATCCAAAAAAATTGCTACACCCTCGACGAATTCTAGGTTTATATAGTCCCATTTTACTAGTAGTTTTAGTAGACTGTGAAGTCGTTTTAGTTATTCTTGCCTCTGCATACATTTTTTTTTAATTTTTAAGATATCTTCGTTTAAGATATATGTATGTATGTGTTGTGTATGTATATATACATTTATATTTAGCATTGTGACGTTTTCCTTGTTATTGTACCATTGAAGTCATCTTCTATTTTGTACTTTTCAACAAGAGAAATAAACATATCATTATTGTTGTTATTAATATTATTATTGATTCGGGTTCAAATTGCGATAAGGTCACTCACCTCTAGTAGTGGAGTTGCAGTAAATATCGTATGAAGTCGATGCTATCATTATGCAGATGACAACAACAAAGCTAACGCTAAAACAAATAAAAAAATTGTTATTTATACACCAAGGTAGTGAAGAATATCATTATTACCCATGAACCAAGATTATATCCCGAGGCTTCAGCCGGGGGCATGAGGTCCCGTGATAAAGATAGTCTTTACTACCATGGTGTATATTGAATTTGTTTCACCACATGCAATATATTTCAATCATTATCGTTCTGTGAAACTGAAATATGGACCTATTGTCACTGTGAATGCACTTCCCTCCAATTCTTATCAAAATAATGGTAATTTTGCACTCATCATGCGATGGTTTTTTCTTCGAGAATTTTTTGGGTACTTACGTATTTTTGTCTGAAAAACACGAATTTGATAATGAAAATGTACACAAACCACTATTTATCGAGATATTTCAAGAAAAAGTTCGAAATTTTGCCTTCTTTTCCCCCTTGTGTTGGATGCATTTACAGGTACTTGCTCTTATTATTTTGTCATTGCACACTTTATATATTATTATACGTGTATATATATATATATATATTTCATGATATACTTCACTGACACATTTCAAGATAGAAAATTCAACAGGAAATATGATTTTTATGGCGAGTTTTTCCTATTTAGTGAGCAAGCATACCAGATGACGGCCATTTAATCCATATGCAATCCAAATACGAGATTTCAAATGTCAATACAGTCAATAGATTGCTTTGGAATGACATTACACACGCCATTATTTCAAATGATATTCTTCCTTCTTTTCACTAAACGTGGATAAATCACAAGAAAATCATATTTCTAGTTGACTCATATAATAAAGAAAATGTGTCCAACATTGTGTGATATACCTATATAAATTGTCCAATGATGGAAAAAGAAGGGCAAATTGTTTTGAATGTGATCCAGAAGACAGGCGGAAAAGATGGTGAAATTTGTAACTTTATAGTGAAATATCTTAATAAATAATGGTTTGTTCACAATTTCATAATCAAATTCGTGTTTTTCAGACAAAAATACGTAAGTACCAAAAAAATTTTCGAAAAAAAAACCATCGCATGATAAGTGCAAAATTTCCAAAATAATAGCCATGACTATGACAGCATCTGTCAAGTCGTTATTGATAAATTCGTACTAGATCCGAGTCCCATCTCTGCGGATATCGCATTAGAACAGTGAACAGAGGTGGCTATGTCATTATTGACTAGTGGTTCATAAAATGACGAAAACTACCTTGGTAGTAAAAACACACTTCACGCCTCAAAAAGGAGTAAACTAATGGTAGGTTCTACAGCTAGTAGTGGGAAAAAGATATGTTGGAGTCATCTACATTTCCAAATAAATGGAAAACATCTAAAATTCGCCCGATTTTCAAAACAGGTTCAATTAATGAAATTACAAACTATAGGCCAATCACCTTATTGTCAAACTTCGCAAAGGCCTTCGAAATCTGCATATACAATAGATTGTTTCCCAAACTGAGTAATAAAATAGCTCTAGAGCAACATGGTTTCATAACAAAAAGATCAACCATAACAAATTTAATGTGTTTCACGCAATTTGTTTCCAATGCCATTGACGCACATTCCCAAGTCGATACAATATACACGGACTTCTCAAAGGCCTTTGACAAGATGGATCACATAATACTCTTATCTAAACTGAAAACTTCAGGTTTCGATGATGATTTGTTGAATTTTTTCCACTCTTATCTAACAGATCGCTCTCTATATGTTGAATATAGGGGACACAAATCACCTTCTTTTATTGCCACAAGTGGAGCACCCCAAGGCAGTAACTTGGCTCCATTGCTGTTCTCCCTGTACATAAATGATATTACACATAATATAACTAGTAAAGTACTTCTCTTCGCTGATGATGTAAAAATTTTCAGATCTATCAACTCAGTTACTGATTGTCAAATGCTTCAAGAGGACATCAATCAAGTGGCCGCTTGGTGCATTGCGAATAAATTACCACTCAACATTAAGAAGTGTCACTCAGCAACATATTCACTAAAGGTTAATATAATTGAATTTAATTACACTATGAATGGCAACAACCTCGAAAAACATAATCTAACGAAAGATCTTGGTATCTATTTTGACCAAAAACTTCAGTTCTTGCCACACATTACTAAAATTATATCATCAGCTAAAAGAATGTTAGGTATGATATTCAGAAACTGTAAAGATTTCCAGAATCAAGAAAGTTATATGAATCTTTTCAACTCATATGTGCGATCTCGATTAGAATATGGTTGCCTTATATGGTTCCCTATATATTCAACATATAGTCAGAGTTTAGAGTCAGTACAGAGATTATTCATGAAATATGTTGCATTCAAAATTGATGGAATATACCCTGAACAGGGTATAGACAACTCTTCACTACTGAGTAGATTTTCGCTGCTCTCTCTGGAAGACCGAAGAAATTATTACTCATGTATATTCATTTATAAGCTTACACATAATCTTGTGGATTGCCCAGATCTACTTTCACAACTGAACTTCCATGTACCTCGCTTGAATAACCGAAATGAAACATGTTTTTATCTAACAACACCAAGAACAAATATTATAGCCAAGTCTCCCGTATATCAAATGTGTAAGAATTTTAATAATATCTGCGATCAAATAGATCTATTTTCAACATCAATAGGTTGTTTCAAAAAATCTGTAAGAAATATTCTCCTCAGAACTGAGATGTAAATTTATATTCAATAGTGAATTATGATTTATCATTCTAGTAACTCACACAAGTCTCTGACTTTCGAGGGTTGCTTTGCAACTAAGCTGGCGGTTAAAAACACTTTTAAAACACTTTTTTTTTAGTACGATAAGTTTGCTGTGTTGATTATGTTGCTTGTCCTGTAATTGGGTGTAATACCTGTTTGGACAATAAACGGTTTTTTTTTTTTTATATATGTTCATTCATTCTATCAACGTCACTGTCATCGATTCTGATTTAGAAATAATTTGCATACTAACTTGTTTTCATGCATTAATCAGATCTGAATTAACTTGGCAATGGAGTGCGTATTAAGTCAGATGATTAATCAATTTCTACTTAATTTTAGGATGGAAAGTTTATATAATGAAATGACGACATATAAAACAAGAATAATGAGATTGCTTCACATACTTAATCAGCTGATTCTGAATAAATTCATATTTCCTAGATTTCAATAGTAATTCGACTACAGATTTGTACATCGCACCTTTTAGAAGATTTTGAAATACCTACTACTTATACAGTATGATGCAAATGTATGGAATAAATTCATTTCAAAACAAGACGACTTCCGAAAAAAATCCAAAAAACTAGAGTTCAGAACATTTTTTATTGTGTATTTTTTCAACTAGACGACCCTTCGATGTTCAATTCCCAGTAGCAGACCTCTGCAAGATTCAGTTAACCAAATGATAATCCATTTTGATTGCAATATTCTTATGCAAAATTTTGACTGTTGGATAGACGATCAGTATACCTTTCAAACGAGGTGTCACATGACCCCTGCTTGTATTTGAAAAAATCGTCCATTACATCATTACTTCTACACCAGTGACGTAACATCTCTCATATGAATGTCATGAGATGAGGCTTCAAAAATTAAAACTCACGTGTTTTTGGAATTTCTTCAAATGTCGCCCATTTCTGAAATAATGAATTTATTTCATACATTTGCATCATATTGAAAAACTACAGAAAGGTGAAGTATGTAAACTAGATTTGGTTAGCCCATTTCTTCATCAAGTGTCCCAAGTCCAAAAATTTCTGTTTCTGAAATTATCTCATTCATTTCAGGAAATTTAAATTAGAAATTTTCTTGTTTCACAATAGGGGAGTAGAGCATAGCATATTATTTTCATGAAAAGAAAAAAGTTTGTGTAGAGATATCCGGTAACGGTTTGTGACACATTTCATTGAAAACTTCATGTCATTCCAAAGGATTGTCTACAGGGTGAATGAGTTAGTTTCTGCACGAAAATTAACAACACATAGATTTTTCAGTTCCATTGTTTTCAAGGTCAAGCAATTGAGATATACAGTCTGTCCAAGATAAGGTTGAACAGCATGGGGATCTCGGAAACGGTAGGAGATACGAAGTCGCTTAAATGGGGAAAAAGTTGCGCATTCGGAGGCTCATATCAAGAGCCGTCGAAAATTTTGAAAATTATTTTTAGTTTTTGAGTTATATCGAAAAAAGTGAATTTTTGGAATTTCTATTTTATTTTTTTTCTCCGTTATTATCAGAGATACAGAAAAACTGAAAATACTTTTTCATTGCAACTTTTGATGAGGTTTAACGTGGTGATACCGATTTTGTTATGCGACGTTTCGTATTCGTGGAACCATCATCAACTTTTGTTTTCTAAATACGGTCCTGATAATTTTTTCACAGATTCTGAAAGGTTTTTTTATTCTGAATTCAACAATGTACTATACAAGGTCATTCGAATGTGTTTCGACCTATTTCTATCCATCATCAATGTTTTTTCGAACTTCCAAAAGAAAAAAAGCCATCAGTTCCACTTATTTCTTATCATTTAGTGTCAAACTTGATGGATTAGTTATTCAATACTGAAAAGTGAATAAAAAATATTTCACTACATCATTCGATCAATGCAGCGTTTAAAATTGTTGATGAATTCTTACACGAATTACTTTAACAACTTAACTTTGACAATACCTACAGAGACATTCATAACAAATGTTCAAAATGATAACCATTATTTTCTGAACAAAGATATCCCTTCTCACAGTTGTTTCTAAGACATTGCTAAGCATTTCTGGGGTTATTCTATTGAATGCTTCGAAGACACTGTCCCTTAGTTCTTCTTCATCCTCAAAGTTATTTGCGTGTACAAAGTTCGATATATCCCCTAAGAAAAAATCCAGCTGTGTCAAAGCAGGCGCCGGCCAAGGGATAAAAACGCACGGACTTCTCTGGAATTATGTACAGGAGCGCCATCTTGTTGAAACCAACAGAGTTCTGAACTTCCGCAATCGGTAAATCATCCAGAGCTTCCTCAAGATGATTCTCAAGCGAATTTCTATAACGTTCGGAAGTCTGTGTTTCATGGTAAATAGAAGGAACAATAATTCGTGTACCAAATATTGCAACCCACATATTAAAGCCGAAACGGTGTTGGTGTCTCGCTGTAATGTATAAATGTTCATTTTCTCGTGAACAATAATGTGTATTTTTTCTATCGAAGCTACCATGATTAGTGACCATGCTTTCATCAGTCCAGATGATTGTTCGAAAGAAATCTGCAAAATTTTAACATTTCCTGGTATACCACTCACAGAATGTCTTGCGCCTTTCGTCATCGCCTGGTTTTAGCGCTTGACATATTCTGAATTTGTATGGATGGAATTTTTGTTTCTGCAAAATGAAATGGGTTGTTGATTGAAACCTGTTGATGAGGTATTAGTGTGTTGACTAATTTTCCTTCAAAATAAGTGGAACTGATGGCATTTTTCCTTTGGAGTTTCGAAAAAACATTGATGATGGCCAAAAATAGGTCGAAACACGAATGAACCACCTTGTATAATACATGGTTGAATTCAGAATAAAAAAACCTTTTAGAATCTGTGAAAAAATTATCAGGACCGTATTTAAAAAACAAAAGTTGATGATGGTTCCACGAATACGAAACGTCGCATGAAAAAATCGGTATCACCACGTTGACCGTCATCAAAAGTTGCTATAAAAAAGTATTCTCAGTTTTGCTGTATCTCTAATAATAACGGAGAAAAAAAATAAAATAGAAATTCCAAAAATTCACTTTTTTCGATATAACTCAAAAACTAAAAATAATTTTCAAAATTTCCGAAGGCTCTTGATATGAGCCTCCGAATGCGCAACTTTTTCCCCATTTAACCGATTTCGTATCTCTTACCGTTTTCGAGATCCCCATGCTGTTCAACCTTATCTTGGACAGACTGTATAACCTTTTGATGTCATGATTTTTTGATTTTATCTGCATTGAAATAACCCTCTCTGAGAAATCAGAGCAAAGTTGAATGGACGAAAATCAGAAGACAAAAAGGTTTCGTTCATCATTCATTTGATCAAAACAACAATACAGGAATGAGATATCCTGACTATCGGGTCGATTCTGTTTGCAAATAGCAATATGGTTGTAGAGAAGATATTGCTATCATAGCAAGATTCGAAAAATTGGAATTCTGATCATCGATTTTTGGCAATATGATCCATCGATTTTTGGCAATATGATCTGTCAATTTCAATGCCATCTGGTAAGCTTTCTTGCTATCTCGGCAACATCAATTTTGTGCTTGCTATCTTATAACAAGGTAGTGGATTCTTTGTTTTTGCACTACAAATTCTTCCAATTGTATGAAAATTCAGAAAATAGTGAATTAAAAACATATAAGAGTTCAGTTGTGTCACAGACTACTCGAAAACCTTTCCTCAAAGTTTCAATTCGTAGAAGAATTATTGAAAAACATAAATTGTTGATTACAAACATATAGGATAGGTTCACTACTGATGTGACCAACTACTTGAAAACCTTTTCTTGAAGTTCCAATTTGTTGAGGAAATATGAGACTACAATTTCGGCATATCAGAGAAATTTAAGTTGCCTGATGGATAGTTCATCAAGTTATTTTGCTAGAATATTAAAAAAATATCACGATTATTTTCATCCGGCTTTTAGTTGTTTTCTCATTTGGCAAACATGATTGATTACTTGCCAGTCGCACAACGACGACCAGATTCAGCAAATACAAAATCTCTCGATTTGAACAATATAATTTTGTAAAATGTCAGCCAGGACTGACTAATTTGAGAGGTTAGATAATCATGAACCCTTCTTCTTCATGAAATAATGGCAAAATCGATACCTAACACTTAAACAATGAGTTGAAGACAGTGTTGTCAGCTCAAAAGTTCTCAATTTTTCAACAATATTGCTATCACTTGAACTTATAACCAGTCTTGCAGTTACTCTGCAAACAGAATACAGAACTTCATAGCAATGTTATGATCATAACAATATTATTATCTTAGCAATGTTATAACAAGATCCGAACAGAATCGACCCGTATAATATATCATTCTTCATGCACAAAACTATATGGTATACATTCATCGTAAGGAAGTTAATGTTGGGTGGGAGTCAAGAACAGATCAAAATATACCTTTGAAAATAAACAAGTCTTAGTAAATTCCGATTGAATTGAGGATATTTTTTCTTGCTCTCAAATGGAAGGTCCTTGTGTTCGAAACGAGAAAATATCAATTTTTCATGAAACGAATGATATTCTACTTATGTTTCATACCATTATACATATATATTATTTTGTCTTGATATACTCTTCCTATCACCATTTCCCACAGTTTTCAATCATTTCGAGAGAAGAATTTCAGAAATATTTCAAAATATATACTCACATAGTTGTGATTGCCCCACTAGTGAGTGGAATATCCAAATCTTCCCTAGTTTGACAAGTAAATTCCACTGAAAGTTTGGAAAATATTTGGTTGATGTCTGTTTGCGAACAATTCTTAGGAAGACAAACAGCCCAACTTGGACCTGTTATCATTCTGGCAGCCCTATTTTCCTCTTCGTTATTGTCATTCAATGTAGGTGTTAGAAGATTTCGTAGTCTTGTTTTGATATTCATCTGACAACAATTAATATTCAATAAGATTTTTAGAAGGGGAGGCAGAGAGGCTGAATAGGGAATCGTGGTGCCCGCGAGAGTCTCGATCGTTTTCGAGAGTCTCGCATGGTCTCGTCTCGTTTTCGAGACGAGACTCGAAACGAGACTTCGACAGAATGAGACGGGACTCTCATTGGTCTCGTCTCGAGTCTCGTGCAAGACTTCTGGTGTCTCGTCCGAGAGTCCCGCAGGTAAATATTTCTGCGTGCCGACTGCAGACTTGAGAATGTCATACATAATACAACATATTCAGAAAAAAATCAGACTATTTAGCACAGATATACTGAACATTTCGTTCATAAACTCTTCAAAAACACAATTCATGATTGTGGTAGAACGACGTAATGCGTTAAACGAAAACGGACTATTCTCTCTCTTACGGCGGAATAATGTTGGATTAAAGTTTTTGTTCTGTTAATTTGTTCAGAATATACGTGCTACTTCTTATTTTATTTTTATAACTTTCGAATATACAGGGTGACATAGAAAAAAATACATTGCATAGTGCCACAAAATAGAGGATACTGAAATGAGAAAAAACTTTCCATTGACACGGATCCGCAAGGCTCGGATAAAAAATACGGGGTGTTTAATGCAGAAACAATGATGATTACTTCATTAATTACATTTTATATTTTAATACCTCTAACAATCATAACATCAGTTTGACAAGTGTCATTATGACACATTATCTAATTGTTATTCATCATTGTTCTTGCAGAGGTTACTTTTGGCGCTTTTCAAATAATTTGTGCATTGTCGGCTTTTAGATGCATTTGTACTGGAACCATAGCTTTTAGCGACTTCGACAAGTTATACCTTTCTTAAGTATAAAGGAAGGGATAACACTATTTTTCAGTCGAAAATGATATATATAGCAAAAAAGTTACGACCGATTCAATAGGGAAAGAACCCTGTATATAGCCCCCTCTATCAGAAATCACAAAACTAAAATCATATTCGAATTGAGCATGATAAAGAAACCTTTATAATACATATATCATCCATATCTTACGTCTGTGGCGAAAAATATTCAAAAAAAACAAAAAAAAAACAAAAATTGGGATAGAACCCTGCATATAGCACCCTTTATCAGTAATCACAAAACTAAGATCATATTCGAATTTAGCATGATAAAAAAACCCTGTATACCACATATATCATCCATCTCTCACGTCTCTGGCAAAAAATATTCGAAAAAACCAGAGAAAATATAATAAAATTCAACACCCCGTATATTTTAACAGAAGGCCTTGCGGACCCATGTTCATGAGAACTCTTCTTCTCATTTTGGTGTCTTCTATTGTGTGGCACTATACAATGTACTTTTTTCTATGTCACCCTGTATAATGCTATGTTTTTTGTTTTTGGTAAGATGTATGATATAAGTATATGTACCTAGTAGGTACTTACTTTTCAATAAATAATGTTATTTTTGTTGTGATTTTCTCTTCCTACTTCTACATTATACCTAAAAAGTAGGTAAAAGTAAATATCCCGTACTAGACTGGAACAAGAGTATGCATGACGAAATTGCGATACCTTTGCGAGACTCTCGTACAAGACGCGAGACGAGACGAGACTTTATGGAAGTCTCGTCTCGTTGGTCTCCTGTGAATCACTAGTGGGGACCTATCATCAGATTGTGAAAAAGAAAACGAGGTTATAATAATATAATGTACCTATTCCCTTTCACTAGTGGTGGCAGCATTCACGCAGGTCTTCAAAATTGTAAAAGAAAAACAGTGACAAAAAAATACTCGAGCGCTTCAGATATTGATAGTGTATGTGACCCACATGTTTTTGATAACCGAAAAATATTAATCTGTCGGTTTGCATCGACGAATGCGGAATAAAATAGATATAAATAGTTATTTTTGTATCTAGTGCCCGAAATGCTACTTTGGTGATCAAGAACTGTTTTTTTTTTAACAAAAAAATATTTGTCGTTTGTAGAAAAAAAATCGAGCGTGTCAGATCATTGACAAGGGGTGTTGAGACTGTTGGGTGAACCGTCGAGTAGTTCCTATTCGAAATACTGACGATTTGGACGCAACCAATAGTCAAGAACAATTTCTGAAAATGAAAACATAAACGTGACCTTGAAAGTTTAGTTCATTGTACCAGTATATCACCTGATGAAGGTACTGTGTTAGCAAAACATGTCGTGTGTTTGAGAATTTTGTGGAAATCTTATCGTTTGTGAAGTTTTCACATTACAAAAAAACGTAACAACGTTGTTTATTCCTGATGACTTAGTATATCCTTTTCAGGTACTAGGAGCTAAAGTTCAACTTTAGCTCATAGGAACTGGAAGTGTTGCCTAGCAGCATGCTCATGTTTGTATCAGTAATAAAAACGTCAATTTTGGTATTAAAATGGAGAAATTTTGTGTCGGTTGCAGGAATATGGTATTTATGGCGAAGGCGCTATTGGAAGGATGGTCACCATTGTATGTTTTATTTTTATGATTTCTGTATAATTTTTTTTGTACATTCAATCGTAAGAATAACATTGGACTATTGAGCTGATAACAGCTTGATAATCAAGAACATAACCCCAAACAGAGAACACTATTACTATATGTCACAATGTATTCACGGTTCAGCGGTTTCAGTCATATAGCTGAAGGACACATTTTTTTAATGAAAAGAAAAACCGCTGCGATATGCAATATGCAATATGCAATATGTCAGGTCAGAAGTTCAAAATCTCATGAGAGATAAGGAAAAATTTGGCTGATTAAACATACGATCTGTCTGACCAATCTAGTGATTGCTATCAACCCTTTCAAGTTAATCCGTTACACACATATCGTGGGTTATCTCACGTAATGACGTATCTCATAAAAATCGGAATCTGAGATACTTCGTCTAGTAATTTATATTCTTGTACTCCATGATCTCACAAAGTGGCGTAACTCAATATTCAATGGTTTTCGTGCAATTGTTAATCTAATACCCAGCCTATCTCAAATTATTGGACTACCGAATCTCACGAAGTGACCTAACTATAGGAGTTACGTCAGTACGTGAGATATATTTTCATTATGTGTTGAAAATTTCGAAAGTGACGTATCTCACATAGGGTTTGTCGCGGAAATCAAAATATCTTGGGTGACGTATATCAAGGTACTGAAAGGAGGATTGTACAAGTGGAATGAATTTCTGTGTTTTTATCAATAAAAATGAATATTCAGATCTGTTATTCATTTGAATTCACTCTATATCCATGAGTGTATCTGAGGCTCCATTAACAAACATGATCTCACGTAGTGACGTATCTCATAACTTTTTTGTTTTGTTTTTGGGGATGCTTTTTCGAAATCTCACCATATCATGACAACTAGTTCCAGTTCATCCACTGATAAATGAAAAAATAATGATCTTTCATGAACAACCCTCTGAAATATGAGCTAATTATAAGATGTTGAAAATCTTTGAACTGCTCTGCTGTGAAATTAGGAAAACTGAGATACGTCACTACGTGAGATGACCGTCGATATATCAGAAGGAAACCATAGTTCTGATGACAATTTCGATATTCTACACGTAGAAAATAAAGGAATAGAACTCAATTATTTTGAATCATTAGAAATCAACAAAAAAACATACGTATTTGCTATCAACACTTTCAAGTAATCCGGTACACCGTATTTTAATGTAGATATTGTGCCTATTTTCCGAAAATGAAGGTTTATCGAATCTTTCCACAGGTAATTCTAATCCTTCAGGTTGGAAAAGTATATATAAGTTTAGGCAAGCCAAGGTGAGTTTATTTCGTTGTACGAGTCTTTCACCTGATGAAGCTACTGTGTTAGCGAAACATGTCGTTTGATTATGAATTTTGTGAATATCTCATTGTTTGTGAGGTTTTGATATTTGCCATCTACTGTTCCGTTATTTTCACGAATTGAGTTCAGAAAGAAGATGAACAATTTTTACTCTACATGAATGCTGAATATCACATTCCATATATTGAGAATCAGTCGCAAGAAATTCATGAAAATGTGCATGTTTATATTCAAGATTACGCTTTCGTCGTTCAATAGTTATTTGTTTAACTAGGCAGCAAAGTAGTAGATTGACTGCCGAGGCTGAATTCATAGCCGAGCGTGATAGAAATCGCAGTAGTTGTTGGAATGGTTGGTTGCTATGGAAATGTCCATAATAATTATAGTTCGACAATTCATGAAATTTCTGACAGTTGTGCGAAAAAATATCGGATTATTTAAATTATTATATAATGGACAGTGGAAGCGACCTGGAAGTACTTACACCTCCAGAAATGAGGGAGGTGGCAAAAAATATAGAGTTGAATTTGTTGCCAGAGAAGTCTCGGATGAAATATAAAGGAAATTATAGACGATTTATGGATTATTAATTTTGCTGATACATATCAATCAGCAAAGTACCCACTTTACTGCCTAGGCAGGAAAAGTAGTACTTTGCTGATTGATATGTGTCAGCAAAATCGATATTTGCTGCCAATCGGAGAAAAAATATTTTTGACAATGTAGTGTTGCGGTTCTACTATAAAGTAACAACTCCATTGGTATTCAAAATGGATAGCATGTATTAATCCATTACATCCTTAGTTTCTTCCTGAAGAGCTGATTTCATCAATATATCTCACTTGGGGTCTAGCGAGAATGATTATACAGAGAAATATAGGGTGTTCAAAATCGAAAATTTTTCAACTTCAGGATTTTTCTCTGTCGAAACTATTCATTTTTGGTCAAAACAGCTCACATGAACCTATCTCGACTTTTGATCGACTATTTACCGACCATTGATTGGAACAGATACAGGGTGATAAAAAATAATTGAATATCGGTAGATATGGAATCAAAACTTAAGATAGGGACATGTTAAGGGTTTTGACCAACAATGAGTAGTTTCTATCTACAAAAAGATCCTGGAATTGAAGAAATCTCGATTTTGAACACACCCAATATATCTGTAATCGTCCCCGCTGTACTCCAATATTGATGAAATTACGTGAATAGCGTTCCACGGAGATTCTAAAAATGCAACTGCTACTTTCTAGTAGAAGCGGCAACACTGCATTGTCGAAGATATTCCAAACAAAGAGATCGTAATCTCAAATATGAACATTCATATTATTAATTATTTTTTTTTTCATCAACTATATCACTCTCAATTCGAGAGATGTGTACTCAAAAGATAGGTAATATGTTAAAAGTGAAAACATAGTTTCTTTAGTTGCACCGACTTCACTGTGATAGATATATACCGTATTTTGTTATTCAATCGTTACATACCTGCTGCAATATTTTTTCATGATCTGAGCTGTTTTGTTCATATATTTTCTGAAAACTCGACGTGGAAAAGCCTCCCAAACAGTACCTAGGTTGGATTGAATGATCTAGTGATTCTGTTGCCAAGCATTCCTCAAAGTCACCCATTTCACCAAAATTGTAAGAAAGCAGTCCAGTAGGTAATTTGGAACTTGCATCTAGCACTGCAAATATTGGTTGGTTAATGGGTTATTACACACCGAGGTGGGAAGTGATTCATTCCTGGCGTGAGATTAGTTAGTTAGCTATAATCTCGAGACAGCAATGAAACTTCCTACCGAGGTTTGTTTACTATTTCATTTACAACCATCATATTTCGATCAAAATTAATACATCTCTGTTTCGTTCTGAACATATCTGAAATATTACATAATTGAAAGCGGGAAGTGAGTTCGGGAAGTAGAGAGGGCAAGAAGTAGAGAGGGCGGAGAGGGAGGGCGAGAAGTAGAGGTGTGTAATATGACACTTCCCAACCTTCAACGACGTTAGTAATGACAACATTACATATATGGTTGTAAATAAATAGGTATACACAATAATGAGATCAATACTGATTCATATATTACATTTCTACTAGCTGATCCGGCAAACGTTGTTTGGATATACAGTCTGTCCAAGATAAGGTTGAACAGCATGGGGATATCGGAAACGGAAGGAGATACGGAGTCGTTTAAATGGGGAAAAAGTTGCGCATTCGAAGGCACATATCAAGAGCCTTCGAAAATTTTCAAATTATTTTTAGTTTTTGAGTTATATCGAAAAAAGTGAATTTTTCGAATATCTATTTTATTTTTTTCTCCGTTATTATCATATATATACAGAAGAACTGAAAATATTTTTATGTAGCAACTTTTCCGTAGAACCATCATCAACTTTTGTTTTTCAGATACGGTCCTGATAATTTTCTCACAGATTCTGAAAGTTTTTTTCATTCTGAATTCAACCATGTATTATACAAGGTGATTTGAATGTGTTTCGACCTATTTCTATCCATCATCAATGTTTTTTCGAACTTCCAAAGAAAAAGAGCAATCAGTTCCACTAATTTCTGATCATACAGTGTCAACTTGATGAATTAGTTATTCAATACCTACTGAAAAGTGAATAAAAAATGTTTCACTACATCATTCCAGACATTCATAACAAATATTCAAAATGATAACCATTTTTTTTCTGAACAAAGATATCCTCTTCTCACAGTTGCTTCTAAGACATTGCTAAGCATTTCTGGGGTTATTCTATTGAATGCTTCGAACACACTGTCCCTTAGTTCTTCTTCATCATCAAAGTTATTTGCGTATACAAAGTTTGATATATTCCCTAAGAAAAAATCCAGTTGTGTCAAATCAGGTTACCGCGCCGGCCAAGGGACTGTAGAATGAGTACCAATCCATTTTTCTGGATAAAAACGCACGGACTTCTCTGGAATTATGTACCGGCGCGCCATCTTGTTGAAACTAACAGTTCTGAACTTCCGCAATCGGTAAATCATCCAGAGCTTCCTCAAGATGATTCTCAAGCAAATTTCTATAACGTTCGGAAGTCTGTGTTTCATAGTAAATAGAAGGACCAATAATTCGTGTACCAAATATTGCAACCCACATATTAAAGTCGAAACGGTGTTGGTGTCTCACTGTAATGTATAAATGTTAATTTTCTCGTAAACAATAATGTGTATTTTTTCTATCGAAGATACCATGATTAGTGACCATGCTTTCATCAGTCCAGATGATTGTTCGAGGGAAATCTGCAAAATTTTGACATTTCCTGGTATACCACTCACAGAATGTCCTGCGCGCCTTTCGTCATCGCTTGGTTTTAGCGCTTGACATATTCTGAATTTGTATGAATGGCATTTTTGTTTCCACAAAATGAAATGGGTTGTTGATTGAAACCAGTTGATGAGGTATTAGTGTGTTGACTAATTTTCCTTCAAAATAAGTGGAACTGATGGTATTTTCCCTTTGGAATTTCGAAAAAACATTGATGATGGCTAAAAGTAGGTCGAAACACACATAAACCACCTTGTTTAATACATGGTTGAATTCAGTATAGAAAAACCTTTCAGAATCTGTGAAAAAATTATCAGGACCGCATTCAAAAAACGAAAGTTGATAATGGTTCCACGAATACGAAACGTCGCATAAAAAAATCAGTATCACCACGTTGGACGTCATCAAAAGTTGCTATGAAAAAGTATTCTCAGTTTTGCTGTATCTCTTATAATAACGGAGAAAAAAAGTTGAATAGATATTCCAAAAATTCACTTTATTCGATATAACTCAAAAACTAAAAATAATTTTGAAAATTTTTTAAGGCTCTTGATATGAGCCTCCGAATGCGCAACTTTTCCCCATTTAAACGACTTCGTATCTCCTACCGCTTCCGAGATGCCAATGCTGTTCAACCTTATCTTGGACAGACTGTATATACATCATTTCTAGACAATATTTTTTCAGTTAAATATTTACCAACACACTTTTATTATTTCATTATCTACTTCTTTTCAGTTTGACTATTCATTTCCTACCTCTTTCTATTTCGGCAAACTATCTCTTGAATTTCTTCAACTACCTTTCATTTTCAACTTTTTTTAGTTTGGCTATATCTACAGCGTGACCCACTTCTAATGAAAACACCCCTGTATCTTACGTAATCGTTGGGAAAGGATCCTGAAATTTGCTGGAGCGAGAGATATACTAAAAATGCACTCTATGATCAGGTGGGGGTCATCTTCAGTAATATACACTGCTCGCCAACAGCCATGAAACTACCCCAATTTCCAGAGAGAGATTTTATAATAATGACTTTCCGCACTTGTTAGGAAAATTACCATAAACGCAGTGACATTTTGGGCCAAATCATCTGATTTGTCCTAACTACACGTATATTGAAATAGTATTCATATTTTCATTTTATAGAGACGAGTATAGAGAAAATCCCAAAAAAATCTGGAATAAATGAATATTGAAAAACTACGAACGTACACTGATTTGACAGATTGGACGTAGGATTGGACTGATATTATCGAATATTATAAATACGAGATTGGACATTTGCATTGCGAGAATAGGAATATTGGCGAAAGATTGGACTTCGGATTGAACGGATTCCATCGGGATTGGACACCAAGTGTACACATATTGGACATAGTGGTTGACCCCTCGGTATGACTCTCTGAATGCGCAACTTTTTTCATATTCAACCGAATTCGAATCTCCTCCCGCTTCCGAGAACTCCATGCTGTGCAACCTTATCTTGGTCACAGTGTATACTTGTATGCAATAACATTCTCAAATGATGAGATAATATTAACTCTATTTTTACCATCCAAACATGAAGTACCTACCTAAGTAGTGTAAATTTGAACAATGCAGGAGTCATTTGAAATTCTGAGTGAATAATTCCATCTGTTTCAGGTGGTCCTTACATTGTTTATATAGGATATCTTACTATCTATCGTTATATTGTATCAATAATGTTATAAACAATATCTGAATCTCCCACGCTCAGGTTTCCTTTGTGGGATTTCGCTAATGTTTATTGACCTAACCTACAGGATTGGAACTCGATACATTTCATGATGATATATTATATCTGAGTACATATAGCCTATACGCAATTATGTCAACTGTGCTTTGTTTTTTGTTTTTCCTTTTGTTTTGCCTATTTCATATGTGAAATATGTCTGAAAAATGGTGAGTGAATATTATCATTATAGTTATTTGAATTCACAATATTCCAGTCACGACTCTGCGGCCTCCGACGCCACGCAGAGTCGTGCTGGATAAAATCCATTGACTGCTCCCCACAGCCTGTGGGGTGAATAATCAATGGAACCAAGAACCGTGTGCCCTGAGTAAACGCAATGATCCAAGTATGACAGCCATCTGCATTCCACCAGCCAGGATGTGTGCCTTAACACTGCACGCTGGGATTTCTTGAATTTCCGAGACTTCCGAGAGCAGTGTTATGTCGTGTGCCTCCTAGGGAGCCGATTATCAGGATGACCAATTCCACAGAAGGGTCTGGATAGAGCCTGCGGAGTTTGAAGAGAAGATCTCGATATTTGATCCGTTTCCCCTCCTCCTTCAAAATGATGTTCGGTTCGGCTGGCGCCGAATACTCGATCACGAACAATATTATTATTATTATTATTATTATTTTGAGTTTATATGATTCCAGTCACGACCCTGCGGCCTCCGACGTCACGCAGATTCGTGCTGGATGAAATCCAGTGACTACTCCTCACAGCCTGTGAGGTGAGTAATCACTGCGACCAAGTACCGTGTGCCCTGAGTAGACGCAATGATCCTAGTATGACGGCCTTCTGCATTAGAGCTCTGCACGGGCCGGGCCAACCCGCGCGGGCTTAGGCCCGACCCGATCCGCACCGCGGGTCGGGCCGCCACGGGCCTGAAGAATGTAGCGTGCGGTGCGGGACGGGCCGATTCATATAAGAAGTGCGGGGCAGGCCGATTCATAAAAATGAGCTCGGCAAACCGTGCGGGACCCGCGGACGTGCGGGTTTTGCGGACCGTGCGGGTTTCACTGACCGTGAGGGTTCCGCGGGCCGTGCGGGTTCCGCGGACCGTGCGGGTCCTGCGGGCCCTGTGGATTGCGTGAGTGTTGTGGGTTGTGAGTCTTCATTTCCTAGTAACAGAATCCCACATTCGAAATGACGTGATACTCTGAGCAATCCAGACGCCCATGCGTTTGTAAAATGAACTCGGTTTTCTTGGAATCCCCAAATCAGTAGAATCCCAATAGCCTATGACTGTGGTCATGAATAATGAGTCTTCAGTTGATTTTATTCATTTTGATGAGAGCTTGAGAGCAATATATCTATACAAATCGCATTCGTTTTTATTGTCCCCATATTGCCGAATGTCGAGTAACTCTCTTAGGAAAATATTACAATCGAATAATCTAGAGGTAAGTATCTTCCGATTGATAAATTACATAAAGATATAGCATTCAATTATTCAATTATTGACACTTCAAACACATTAGCATATCATTGATATCAAGTGAAAATTCAGGGTGGGATTTTTTTCCTTAGGTCGAAATATATTTTAGAAGTTTCTTTCCATAAGTGGGTTACGCGAGCCACGTGGACCGAGTGAGCCATGTGGACCGAGTGAGCCATGCGGGCCGATGAGCC